CACCCTCCCCCACTGCACAGTCCCCCCACACACCCCCCTACAAACCCCTCCCCCACGCACCCCCACACCCCCCCAACACTCCACCCTACACCCCCCCCCACCACACCCCACCCCCACCCCCCAAACACCGCCGCCCCACACCCCCAACACACCCCCCGACACCCCCGCCCTCCACGCACCCCCCAACACACCACCACAACCCTTCCCCCCACAACACCCCCCAACACCCCCCCTATCAACCCTCCCCCACGCACCCCCCACAACCACCCCCTAAACCCGCCCCCACGCACCCCCCACACCCCCACACACCCAGACCGCACCTACCCCCACAGACCCCCCAACACCCCCCCTACACCCCGCCCCCACGCACCCCCCAACACCCCCCTACACCCCGCCCCCACGCACCCCCCTACACCCCCCCCTACACCCCCCCCAACACCCCCCCTACACCCCGCCCCCACGCACCCCCCCACCCCCCCCTACACCCCCCCCCCAGCACCCCCAAACCCCCCTACACCCCGCCCCCACGCACCCCCCAACACCCCCCCTACACCCCGCCCCCACACCCCCCAACACCCCCCTACACCCCCCCCCACGCACCCCCCACACCCCCCCAACACCCCCCCCACACCCCCCAACACCCCCCTACACCCCGCCCACGCACCCCCCAACACCCTCCACACCCCCCCCCCAACACCCCCTACACCCCCCCCACTCACCCCCCAACCCCCCCCTACACCCCCCCCACACCCCCCCACACCCCCCCTACACCCCCCCCCACGCACCCCCCACCCCCCCCCCAACACCCCGCCCCCCACCCCCCAACACCCCCCCTACAACCCCGCCCCCACGCACCCCCCAACACCCCCCCTACACCCCGCCCCCACACCCCCAACACCCCCCCTACACCCCGCCCCCACTCACCCCCCAACACCCCCCCCAACACACCCCGCCCCCACACCCCCCAACACCCACCCCTACACACCCGCCCCCACGCACCCCCCAACACCCCCCCTACACCCCGCCACCACAGACCCCCCAACACCCCTCCCAACACCACCCTACACCCGCCCCCACGCACCCCCCAACACCCCCCCTACCCCCCGCCCCCACGCACCCACCCAACACCCCCCCCAACCACCCCCCCTACACCCCCGCCCCCCACGCACCCCCCAACACCCCCCTACACCCCGCCCCCACAGACCCCCCAACACCCCCCCCAACACCCCCTACACCCCGCCCCCACGCACCCCCCAACAACCCCCCATACACCCCGCCCCACAGACCCCCCAACACCCCCCCTACCACCCCGCCCCCACGCACCCCCCAACACCACCCCTACACCCCGCCCCCACGCACCCCCCTACACCCCCCCCTACACCCCCCCCAACACCCCCCCTACACCCGCCCCCACGCACCCCCAACACCCCCCTACACCCCCCCCCCCACGCACCCCCCAACACCCCCCTACACCCCGCCCCCACCACCCCCCAACACCCCCCCTACACCCCCCCCCCCCACCCCCCAACACCCCCCCCCCCCCCCCAACACCCCCCTACACCCCGCCCCCACCACCCCCCAACACCCCCCTACACCCCGCCCCACGCACCCCCCTACACCCCCACTACACCCCCCCTACACCCCGCCCCCCGCACCCCCAACACCCCCCTACACCCCCCCCACCACCCCCCAACACCCCCCCTACACCCCGCCCCCACGCACCCCCAACACCCCCCCTACACCCCGCCCCCACCACCCCCCAACACCCCCCCTACACCCCGCCCCCACGCACCCCCCAACACCCCCCCTACACCCCGCCCCACACCCCCCAACACCCCCCTACACCCCCCCCCACGCACCCCCCAACACCCCGCCCTACACCCGCCCCCCACGCACCCCCCCAACACCCCCCTACACCCCGCCCCACGCACCCCCAACACCCCCCCTCCACCCCGCCCCCACGCACCCCCCAACACCCCCCTACACCCCGCCCCACGCACCCCCCAACACCCCCATACACCCCGCCCCCAACGCACCCCCCAACACCCCGCCCCCACGCACCCCCCAACCACCCCCTACACCCCGCCCCCACGCACCCCCCAACACCCCCCCTACACCCCGCCCCCACGCACCCCCCAACACCCCCCAACACCCCGCCCCCACGCACCCCCCAACACCCCCAACTTCGCCGCCGTCTGTGGGGGAGCCTGCGGCGTGACGTCATCGCGGTGGGCGAGGCTCTGCGGCGTGACGTCATCGCACGAGGAGCGGTGGGCGTAACGTTGGGGGGGGGTGCGGTGATGTCACGTCAGATGCAATTGGAAAGCGCTTCTGAAAATCATCACGAGCGTCGTTGCGGCGAATGTCATACAATAAGTAGAACTAACGTGTCATAATTCTTACTATATTAGAAGAAAAAAATGTTTGCTGCCTGGATTCCTGGCTGGCTGGCGCGCGGCTTCGTGCGTGTGCGCGATGACGTCACCGCGTCCCACAATGTCGAGACGGCCACGTGCGTGCTGACGTCACGCCCCCCCCCCCCCTCTACCAACCCACCTTTAATCAGATTCTGTATTTATATACTGCAGGAGGAATCCGATTAGCTATCAAGCTCTTATTCTCGGTTCTTTCGGTAAAGTCAGGTAGAAGGGAAATAATAAAATAATAAAAATCAAACAATTAAAAATGTAGTTGAAGTCTTCAGCTAAAATGTTCTTGCTGTAATGGTCACACCTGATGACGATTGCTTGTGTTTCAATCGAAACGTGATAATTTGTATTTATTTTATTATTTCCCTTCTACGTGACTTTACCGAAAGAACCAAAAATATGCATCCTAGTCACGAAAGCTTTAAATGGAAATATAAAGCTCTTTAATCACAATTGTCCAGTAAAGGCACTGGGTCAGAACGTCACAACAAACAATACAAAACACGATCCAGTATACAGCAAACATGCCGATTCTTTAGCGCGTGTGATACTCGGGAGCCTCGTGTACTTGACCGGAAGCACGTGGCCCATCACGCCTGAAGATGTAGAATTACATTAAGAGGGTAACATTTAAATATAGTTAAATGTTAATTTAACACGTAGGCTGTCGTGACCAATAACACATTCCTGCGGAGGGAGCTGGTAGGAACGTTGGATTGCTCGGTCAATGGACAGGGTCAACGGCGGCGTGGTGTATTCCGCAAATATGCCCGACTGTGAGGGCGGGCACAAGCCGGCGTGAGTAGGTTAAACGTTGAGTTTTATAAGGGCACCACGGGGTGACCAGCCCCTACCCTCCCAGCCCCACCCCTCCCACCCCCCTCCCCACCCAGCCCCTCCCCTCCCAGCCCCACCCCTCCCACCCAGCCCCTCCACATCCTCCCCTCCCCACCCAGCCCCACCCTCCCCACCCAGCCCCATCCCTCCAAACCTCCACCCAGCCAAACCCTCCCCACCCAGCCCCACCCTCCCTTCCCCCACCCAGCCTGGTGGGGTGGGGCTGAGTGGGGAGGGGCTGGTCACCCCGTGGTGTCCTTATAAAACTAAACGTTTAACCTACTCACGCCGGCTTGTGCCCGCCCTCACAGTCGGGCATATTTGCGGAATACACCACGCCGCCGTTGACCCTGCAGGCCATTGACCGAGCAACCCAACGTTACTACCAGCTCCCTCCGCAGGAATGTGTTATCGGCATAGGTGCGAGTGACTTTTTTGCCGTGACTATCGACGAGACAACCGATTTGGGGCGATTGACTGAAAAAATATAAGGAACCTAGGACGCATCCCCTGAGGGATGCCTGCAGCGGATGTAGTGGCTGGGATTGAGGATATTGGTCTATTAATTGCAGCACAATCACTTGGACAGAAATGCTGGTCTATTATTGAGATCTGCCATTGTCATGGGGCCAAGGAGGATGTTGTTGAAGGACTTCTCTGTGTATGGCCTGGCAAGTTACCAGGAAGACTCTTACAATTAACGTGGCTGCTGATGTTCTGCACATAAACTGACTCTGTGCAAGTATTTAAAAAAAAAATACGGTCGACATTGGTGAGGGTTATAATTGGTTTTTTACCCTTCTATCTGGCAATATAACTGACACCTTTTTACAAGGAGTCATGTTTGCATAGACCGCAATACCTGCAGTCATAATACAAACAAAAGACATAACTCTGACAATGTGCACTGTCCTTGAAGTTGATTGGTCCACACCCGAGACAGCTTTATGACTGCAGGTATTGCGGTCTATGCAAACATGACTCCTTGTAAAAAGGTGTCAGTTTTGTTGCCAGATAGAAGGGTAAAAAACCAATTATCATATTTTTACTGGCAAATGAGGTTCCCATAGTGGTGAGGGTTAGGTTCATGAAAATTTGCACAAATGTAAATACTATGTTTATTTGGGGAAAAGGGGGTTAGAGGTTCCCGTGTCCGACTGAACATCTGGGAGAATATGAAAATGTTTCACAACATTCATCCTGTACTGTGTACAAATAACATCCATACCGTTAAATTGTACAATGCAGATAGCGCAATACAAAAAAATAGAATAAAATTAAACATTAAATTATTCTGTAAATAAAGTTTTATTTCCCGCAACAAAACGTCGTGAACGTTAATGATGCGCCATCGAGGTGTCCAATATAGCTCGTCATCGAGTAGCCGGTTAGATGCATCTGGTAACGTTTGCACATGTCGAGTTTTTATCCGTCCCCGCGCGGATCTCGGCGTCCGTATGACAAGTCTTCAACGAGTGGAGGACGGCTAAGATACATACGTAAATGTGCAGTGCGTGAGAATGTTGAGTTGTGTTACAAAATGGCTTGGGAGCGCATACAGGGCCCCATAATCCTCCACTGTGCAAGTAACCCCTCCGCCACGATGCCATTTGCCAAATCGCGAATAGTAGAGGGAGGGGGGGCGCATACACTTGACCTGGTATATAGAAATAAAACTCGAGAATAACCGAATACCGCGAAAAAAATCCACGAATGAAGGGGTTTAAACTGTAATAATTTTATATCCAGTGTTAAGTTTAATTCTTTAATTGAGCTTTTGTTTTACAAAATATTTTTTTACAATGTAGCCACTGCAACAGATAACACGTGACATTTGCTGGCAGAGTGAATACTGTAGTCTCAATCAAAAACAATGGGAAATTAAAGCCTTTCAGGCATATCAAGTGGTGCTTTAGAATTGTTTTTATTCATCTATTGCTCGCAATGTAGAGTTATAAACACCCTTTTATAAGCTGCATGCTTTTAAAACAATCAAATAATTTCCATTTTTTCACTTTTTATGAATTGTGAAATTTAGAATTTTCATGCACAAGCCACAGCAAAATTCAACTGCTCTTCTGATTTGTAATTATTTTAAATCACCATGCCAGGTGCAAGGGTTTGCACACATTTCAAACATACCCACTGAAATTATGACATTCACCCTCACTGTAAAAATGGTTCATGAGCTTTAACATGGCAATGCTTTGCTCATCTCCCACAATAAAGGATTTTGAAAGCACATTCTCCACCAGATACACTTCACTTCCTGAATACTCAGGAATTGTAAAGGTATGTTGCATTAAAAACAGTAAAGGTTTTTTTTTTACTGTTAACCTCTGAAGATAGTACTGTACACACGAAACATTCAACATTACAAAACTCAGACTGCAGGAAAAATAGTTTGCTGCCAACATTTGTAAGGCCATGCCCAAGAAATCAATGCATTTGTCAGTTTGGAATTTGAACAAAAAAGAGAAGACCAGAATACAAAAGTGAAATTGACCTCACTGTGGACACATACCAAAAAAAAGTGACTTCCCTCTGCCCAAACCAGACTGGACAGCATATTTATGTATTCAATGGGCCATCTTTATAAGTTATGTGCAAGATGATTAAACACAAACCAGTGTGTATGTACGCTTAACTACAACTTTACCATGCAATTTTAGATAGTGAAAGCAGTCAAATTATTGATCACGTCCAAGGTATTCATCACCAAGTTTACTGGCCGCTGGGAACACTGCAAATTTCATAAGGGATGCTAAATACTATCACACGTGTTAAATTGATGTTTTCTGAACCTTCTATTGTACGAAACTAACTTAGGATTCTAAATGCTTTCCCATAAGGTATACACTGTAAAAGCACCAGTACAAAAATATGACAACAGCATGTTCTCACATTTCTAAGAAGAGCACATTACAAAAATGTTTTTCTTTTTTGTAGATGGATTTAAAGATTTTGGACAAAGTAAACAATTTTTCAGTTAAGGCCGTATTTTATGAGCTATATGCTTTCAAGAAAGAAATAAATAGCAGACTTCTGCAACACGGATTTTAAATATTGTTGCCTGAAAAAAATATTTAAAATGATGAATGAAACAAGGATATTTTTTAACAAATGGCTTAAGGTCATTAAAGCTGTTGTGAATGTCCGGATATTGTTATGGGTCAAGAATCCTGGAGGTCTTTCTTCTCCAAATATTTTCTGAAAAACAAAATTACGAAAAGCATTGCTTAATAATGCTTAATACTCATTGATAAAAATGGCAAATAGTTAGGTCATGGACTTAACATAAACCGTATTCGATATTGTACTTATATCCGTTTACATTTTTTTCTTTCCATTTCTTACAAGCACGAGAAAATAATTTTCGTTCATGCTATTGCATTTTTTTCATCAAAACAGTTAAAGGTTTGATTTCATTTTTTCAACCTGTAAAACACGGAATACATGTACTTAAGAGAGTTAACGAAGGCAGACCGAAATCAATATGATCAAATAGAGACAGATGACAGCAGATAAGAGTGCTTTTGGAAAGCTGAACTTGGTAATTAAAAGTAATATACCATTCTAAAAAAAAATTATCATTGTGTATCTCCTGCTATGACATGGTTGAGAAACATGGTCATTCATTAAAAAAATGTAACAACTGTAAAGTGTGCAAATAAGCATTGTGAGATGCATGCTTGGAATTAGATTGACATAAAGAGGAAAACATGACTTAAAGAACAAACACAAGTTAGAGACATATGTCAAACTTTAAAATAGTAGGTTTGTCCATGACAGCGATAATGGCAGATGATAAATAGAAAAGGAATGGCAGCAAAGAAATAGAGCCGTGTCCGAAAGAACTTCTATCAAAGATATGGAGTGATGAAATTAGCTCATGTCCCAAGTGCTGGGTGGAATGTTGTATCGTGGAATCGTGGGGGATGGTAGCAGCTTGGGGCAGCCTTCATCCAGCAGTGGACTGACCATGGTTAATGTTGGTGAATAATTAACACAATATTTAGCAGCAATGGAAATATTATCTCTGTATGAAGCGTCTAAAGCTTTGAATTCAGAATTTGTAGTCGCAAATTATACTAAATATGCTGAACAATGTAAATACTGATGCAAACCATAGCTCTATGAAGCAGAAAATATTTTGTGTCAAAGCATACAATAAAAATTACTAAGATCAACATTCTATATAAACATCTTACAGCAGTGCAGCCACATCAGGTATTATGCAAGCCATCCATACTAAATGCATTTTGCTTGTGTGAGCTATATATGGAGATCACAATCCCACAAGGTTAGTTTTACAGACATCTCCATCTTACAGTGATGTGCTTTTCAATCACCTGCGTGCATATTCATACAGTGCAGCCTTCCTCTCCTGCAAAGATAGGTGCCTCTGACCAGTTGATTTACCAAACAGGGAGGCAGATGTTACAGGGCTCGATAACTGTAGAAAGAAGAAGACAATGTCAGACAATACTTTCCTAATTTAAATTGTGACTGCAACAAAGCTAAAATCTCTTTTACGGACTACTTAGTTTCAATTAAAATCATCGTTTTTTTATTTACCCGGAGTAGGACATTTTCTGGTGTAAAACACTTAAGGCCATACATTTTCGAATGTGAAAGAAGACAATAATTGGGTAATGTAAAAATGTGAGTCTCACCTGTGAGCTTTTCGAGCTGTATGCACCAGATGGTGAAGGCGTAGGAGCTGGTGGCGAGGCAGATGGCACAGACGGTGGTGGATCCTCGGGGGTGAATTTGACCGTCCCTTCCAGCAGGTTCGTGATTGTGGTGTCGACGCACTTTGTCACTGCTGTGCAGCGAACATTTTATCAACATTTTATTACAATTATTCCACTGGAAAAAAATGTTTGAATTCATATCAATGACAACCGTGATGATGATTGGAAATATGTACAAATATATTTACTGGATTATTATCCAAATGTATCCTGAAAAATGTAAATTGCTTTGGCATTACCCAACAAGCACATTACAAGCGCATAACCATTAACATTAACGAGACGCATTACATTCATAAGAACAGTAATGCAGTCCTGTTGACAAAACATCACAGCATTGTTTTATAACTAAATAAACAAAACTACAACAGAAAACTGTAACATATGGTTAACCTTTCATAATGGTCATCAGCCACGATAAAAACAGAGGGATCAAATCCTCCCAAAGTTGTGACCATCTCAGTCTGTAGGAGCCGATGTATTCATTACACTTCAGCTGTGGAAATGTTTACGGGCATTCCCCCTTTGATTGCCACGATCGTTTATCTCAACCGCCAACCATCATCTCTTCTAGTGACATGGGTCTTCTTACAATCTGCCTCGGCATTGCTTTCAGGTTTACTGTGGCGACATACCGATGTCACTGGCGATGACAGCGAGAGGCACGTGTGGCAACACCTCCTTGACACGCTGGGCCATGGTCTGGAAGGTGGGGTCACTTCTCGTGTCCTGCTGCCTGGCTGTCCTCCCCACGGGTGCGCCACTCGCCCTCCCAGCAGCCACAGGCCCTGCCCCACAGCAATGTTAACTCAGTCTGCAACAGTGCTTTTATCACCAGAAATTGTTTATTTTTGTTTTTTAAACTGTTAATGGCTATGATCCGATACTTTAATTAAGCAGTACTTGCCGAAATTGTGACAAACGTGGGGTTTTGGCTTTATTACATCATGGGTAATTACCCAAAGCTATTCGTGTCTGCAACAAGATTCAAAATTGATTAACTTTTGAGTGTTACATAAGTTACCGTTATAAAGCAGTGGCTATGTATATATGTATTTTTAACTTCTTTCGCACTGTACGTAGCCAACTGTGCTAATCGGAGGTGTGGAGTAAGGACAACAAACTAAACACAAAAAACATTTCTAAACAAATGAGTTTCAATCTAGATTTTAAATTGCATAGCTCCAGTGGCTTCCTCAGAAAAGATTTGTAAAAGAAGGTGTGTTTTTGCCCATGGACAAAAAACCTACTTATTTTACATGGAGACAAATATATTTTTTGTTAATTATTTGGTCATCAATCTTATAAGGCCATGTATGAAAATTATATGAATAATTATTCGAAAAAGCATGATATATCTTCATGTTTTAAGAGCAGACTTTATATATGTCGTGAAGAAACTTGTAATTGATATCTGCATCACTGCTGCAAAACAGGTAAAAATACTCACACACTATAAAATAGCATATCCGTAGTAATGTGAAGATCAATAAGCTTTCGCTGAAATCAACAGTTTGCAATTCGCTAGACATTTACACTAATTAACAATTACGTACATAAAAATATTTTTTTGAATCGAATAGTTAAGTACTTTTCACTTAATCTCTGGTACACATTAATACACAAGGGATGTCTCCAAATGACAAGCTGCAGTTTACCACCATAATAGAGGTGTCTTGGGTTAGATTGCGTAAATATAAATGCGTCATTAAACCCGCCACCACCCCACACAGCCAATTTGTAAAGTTTGTCACAAAAACAAAACATGCCAATTTTTTACTAGTACAGCACACTGGTGTGTTGGAGAGTAAACCCACAACATGTTTGTGACAAACCTTACTCATTAGCTGTCGGGTGGCAGCTGGTTTAACGACAGTTATATTTACGCGATCTAACCCAAAAAACACTATTATGGATAATATTGGTCGCCAAAACCTACGTGTTAAACTGCAGTTTACATTACTCTTTGGTTCTTTCGGTAAAGTCACGTAGGTAGAAATAAAACAAAAGAAATCACGTTTCAATAGCAACACAAGCTGGCATCAGACATCGTGCTGCTCGAAGCAGACATGGCGGCTATTGCGATTTTCGTGTTGCTATCGAAACGTCGTGTTTTATTTTGTTTTATTTCTACCTACGTGACTTTACCGAAAGAACCAAAGAGTACGGATTCCTGCAGTCACGAAAGCTTCAAATCAAGATTACAGTTTACCTGTTTGCCTCAACACACGAGCCAGTCTCTTGACATGCTCAGTTTTGTCTGCTTTGCTGTATGGTGTAGACACAACACCCAATTCCACAGCCATCAACTGCAACAATAACCAAGCCACAATGGAAACTCAGCCCGAGGCACAGTAAAATGACTCCACTGTTAAAAAAGGCAATTGGGTACAGTTCTGGAAAAAGGACGTGCGAGCAATTAGAATTCCCGTATGTTAAAAGTAAGATCTTCTATTGACTCATTTTATCTGTAAACTGGTATATGCGATCCTTGACTGAATATATAAGTATCTCTGTCAGAGAAACAAAACATGTAAAACGTTTCATAGTAAACATTTAAACTTAGCAATAGTTTTGCTATAATTCAAGTCATGTGATATACTGTACATCTTTAAAACATCGAGTATATTGGCATACAATAACCTATGCAATATATTTGGGTTTTTATGTAATAGCAAAAAAGGAGAGTATTGTGTGTGACAGCACCACATACAGGAAGCAATTAGCATGAGACGTGCCAAACAGGAAGGACATGCACACGCAGATACATTTCCACATACATTATACTAAAACTAAATGTTCAAGCAAATAGAAGATATCTTCCCAACCAGTGTATTTAAGAAAGTGGGTCAGTGCAAGCTGTCCAAGTTACATAAACTGTGTTTATTATTCTTACAATTAAATGCACATGCTAAAGGCTCTAAAAACCCAACTGAGTTGCTCCCTTGTTTATAAAACAGTCTTCATTACATCAAATTAAAATGACATTACTGTGCAAGGGATAAATATCGTATACAGTTTGAAGCAAACTGATAAATGAATTTTGACTTAAAACTTCGTGACTGCAGGAATTCATATTCTTTGGTTCTTTCGGTAAAGTCACGTAGATAGAATAAAAAAATAAAGTGATTAAAAAAACCACGACGTTTCGATCGCAACACAAGCAGTCGTTATCAGCAACCGCTTGTGTTGCGATCGAAACGTCGTGGTATTTTTCCCGAAAGAACCAAAGAATATAATTAATAAATCCTAAATGTAACCGACTTGCACAATGATGATCCCTCTGAGATGTAAATTAACATGAGCGGATGCTAATTAAAACAGCTGTCAAGTTTATTTTAAAATCTTTCGTAGAAGCGTTTGTTCACTTTATTTTTAATAAACTTGACCACCAGGTATCGGAGCTACATACCTCTTGCACTCTCTTTGCAAAGCCATCTTCCGTTTCTCCCTCGTGTTGAGACTCAGTTGGGAGCCACCTAATTGGACAGAAACAGCAGGCAATGGGCAAGAGTTGTTTCATCAACGTAGTTAAGAGTGCACATATTATATTCAATTCTAGGCCAAAGATTGCGTGCAAGCTTTATTGCTCATTAAATAAAATAAAAACGTTGTTTTCCCATTATTACACAAAAGAGAAAATACACAATTAAATGATAGTTATAGCTGACACCCTGCAGTTATAAAGGTTGCGATTTCCATATATAACGCAAAATGTATATATGCATCCACTACATTATAACGATGAAATTCCTGTATATTTTGGTGCATTGTTTGTAAAAATATATGGAATGTTTCATTGTGCACAAAAATGGTCTTCAAATATTATCATTGGTTTTCATCACCAATGTCTACAAAACTGAATAAAAGTTCATTGGCAACACCACCAAAAGGGGACTTCTAAACACATTAGTCATCACCCATACTCACATATGCTCAACATTTATTACCAAAAACCGGATAAGAGTTTCACTATGAAAGATGATTGTATAAACAATGCTATCAACGAGATTACATTTACGTCACTACCTTCACATTCGGCTGTGCTGTCTTCACATTGAGCAGAATTGTGTCTATGTCATTGGTGGAGAATTTACCTTTATCATTTGCAAGTTCATAGTTTATGTTTGAATGAAAATGTCCACCAACTGTAATAATACAAATAGACTCTTAGCTTTGATTTACATACATGATTAATTATGTAATCCGATGTGCTATTTGGCAAGTGTGATATTTTCCATAGCCAGGCACTATATTTAATCCTCATAAGTGTTGCCCAATGTGAGCTCCTAGGCTTCCTATACTTGTGATCATGTAAATGCACCACAGCTTCATGGCAATGAAAAGTAGAAATGTATACGATAGAAAGAAATGGTAGTACCTTACTTGGTAATGCGTAAAAGGCAAGAAAAATGTCCAAACCAGATCCTGAAGCCAAGAGGATCCAATCACATTCTGTAAACAAGAACATTATTTTGCATTACAATAAGTTTATATATTGAAAAATGCATCGTCTCTAAATACAGAATAATTGTTTGTTAAAAGGAGTATCCAACACTGAGCAATGCTAAGATGACAATTCAGGGTAAGTACAAGTATGCATAACACAGCAGGCATCAATCAATCTTTCTTTATTTTATGTGCCAATATCTCCCTCAATAAAGTAGGCAACAATTTACATAGGCATAAAACGCAAACGGTACATGGGCATAGTTCTTCAAAAAAAGTTGCCCTTCTTGGAATGGCATGATATTAAAAAATAGAACTCTTCCAAACACCAAGCAGCGATATGTAACACACAGGCAGGCACAGCGTGGCTGCCAAGTGCAATACTAACCACGGCAACAGCTGGTCTGCCGACGGAAAGGGCCACTGGCTGCACAGATGGATTTATGCTGAAAGGCCAGGTGCTGCATGCCAGTAAATGGCGCACAACAAACAACAGAAGGAAACTGTAGATGTTCATAGCAAAAAAACAGAGCGAATACGCAGCAAACTCCACTTAAAATGTGGTTGGAGTGTGTTACATCCTGTCCAATTACTTTTTGTATCTGTGCGGAAATACATCAAATTTTTACAAATTCAAAATCGTTATCAAATAATGACACGAACGTTTAAATATATATCATGCTCATTAATGTGATGATGATAATAATACATAGAGCAATTTGTCATAAAAAGCAACAAGGCAGAGTTAAAAATAGATGGGAGCAAAATGTACCTGAACTTGAGTAGCCCTGCCTGACCACTAGTGGTGGCCTCCTCAGGGAAGAGAAGAAGAGGAGGGCTACCCTCTTGGGAGCAGAGTTTGCGGCAGCTGGAGAGCAGTGTGGGTCGGTGAGATGGACCAAGGTCTGTGTAGCCTCTAGCCCATGTCAGCACGGTCGCTGGCGAGTCCAGCAAAGGCTAGTTAGGGAGGTAAAAAGTAAAATAGTGTTTAAATTTTTTTTTTTTTATAAAACTCACAATGAATATTATTCATATGTCTATGATGAACATAAATACAGGCATGAGCCAGAGGGTGTTATGAGTGTACGCTTCTGAGAAGCCTGTAAACAGCTAAGCCCATCAGTTCCTGTCTGGAAGTGGTTATCACATATTGCAAACACAACACAGGCATGTCCACTGGCCTAAGCTGACAATGTTTTTCAATGTTATGAGGAATTCATTTTGCTGGTCAAGGGTCACATGCTATTTCAGGCGGAAAACCTGCAGAGGTCCACAATGTAGACAAAGAAGATCACATCAGTTTGCAGTTTCACTCCATTATGGTGAGCTTTAATTTCACCTATTTTCTACTAACACAGGCTAGCATATTGTTGTCAAGAGTACAATGTCCTTTTCAATGTTTAAAAGTCGAGGGAATAGAAATTAAGATCCTCCTCCGAGACAAGTTTGCTAGTTTTATTTCTGCGCTACAGCTGACACAAAACAATAAATTGGTAAACATTTAAAACAAGGAGTAAGAATATTATTCTCGAACCTGTCCGAGGGCACTTACAGTGACACATGAAAACAGTAAGTTGAGCACATTGTGGTCAAAATCTGTGACATGGTTGCAGATGAACACCCTAGCAGTCTTGTCGCGCTTCCTGGGGTCATCCTGAGACACGAACAGCCCCAGCACTGAGCACATCACCCGCACAATAAACCTGCACAAAACCACACGCACCCATTGTAAACACATACAGAAAATAAAAAAAATTACAGTGGTACATTAGTTCACTTTATTATAAAGTATAGCACGATCACAATGTAGCTGTTGTTCAATATACTGCAATGAGATGAATACATTCGTGTGCAGGCATTATTTATAACAATTGGCAGTCACCAAATATGGATTACACAGTACATAAAACCACGAATTGTGGAGTACAAAAAAATAATTATTGCAGTGCAATATTTTGGCATATTTTTCTAAAACAAAATTAAAACCATTTGCCATAGGAATTCCTAATGCTGGCTACAGGTAGGGCCGATGTGTTATTATGCTGTCATTTGCGTACCGCCGAACGAGGCTGTCGGGCAGCGCTGAGGCAATCAGGAACACATGTACGCCGATGAACGTGCGCAGGAGCAGCAGGCACAGGCCAAAGGGCAAGTACAATAGGAACAGCAGCAGTGAGAGACTGTCACCAGGCAGCCTGCAGAGCACAAGTACATAGGCAATTTTAATCGTGAGAAACACTGCATAGGTATCCACACCACCTATAAAGACTTGTTTCGCATTGGCAAAAGGCAAATTGTTCATGTTTGACCCTACATGCACTCCCATGAGACATACATGTGTAAAGTACATCATACAACTATTACAGAGTTTGTTTGATTCTTTTTATTCTTACACATTTTATATTCCACTTTATTTTGCATTTAATCACCCCCGAATGATTTTAAACTTTCATGAGATATGGTAATCGCAGACCATAATACATTTTGTAGTTTCAGGAAGATCGTTTTTTTTGTTTGTTTCACTTTGTCACCCATTCCCAGTGCACTGCCAATTACACTGATTACGGTAAATTGATGTTACTACTGTAAATTACATTGCCAATTACATTGACAGTGGTAACAATTTAATATTTTAGCTTTTCTAGGAATTGTTGCTTAGAACCGGTTAATTATGTTCTACCCCCTAAATATATAGTTGTTGATGTTAAGTGCCTTGTTTTTCGTGATATTAGCGTTATCCTCTCCAGCAATGCTAACATGTAACTTGCATTACAACAGCCTGTGATCACGTTAAGATTTAATTTGAGGACAGAGACAAGTCGGACAAACTGGGTTTTGTGAAAAAGAATCAAGGAAGTGTAATTTTCAGTTCTCCATTTGGACTGTTGTAGGTCCAAATGTATAAACAAATGTTTTCAAAAGGTCTTCACGTCTCTGCTTGCTCCAGACGAAAGATCTCTTCTCTTTAGTTCCTCTCTCCAAAACCAAATATAACAATCATCCTCTCTTCTCCTTTTACCTACTATTTAATTGATTTCATGACGGTATAGTGTTTTTGCCCCAATTTTCATGTTGGTTAACTTCTTAATTATGTGGTCAACTCCTATATCTTTAGGCTTATTGGGAAAATGTATTTGATTTACCTTTAATATGTAGTGGTTTGAGAGCCTTATTGTTATCTGAACAGCTTTATCAAAAGTACTTTTGATTCCTAAAACGTTATGCTGAAACCTGGAGATATTAAAATTCCCACTCCTTCATGATTACAATCATATCTCCCTGTGATAGAAAATATTGTATCTATTAGTTAAAGACATATCCTAATGAGTTCTCACCTGGGCCAACTACTCTCCGTTCCAAGTCTCCCTTGTAAATGTGCCAATTAACTCTCACGTAACTTTACGAATCATCCTAAATCCCACGTCTCATCTTAGGCAAAGTGTTAGTTACACAATCTATTTTCACGTGAACGCCCCGTCACCTGGGTTAAGTGGGTAACTTGTACATGTGAATGTGCAGACTTTTTGTCAATCCACTGCTGGATGCAGCCCTTACCACACCGTGCGGGTTATGGAGGTTATGCGACCATAATTCTCACCACGCTGTCGGTGCAGGACTTTGAAAACATGAGAGCATAGAAGTACATTACAGCACTCTACAGTTATGGATTTTGCTGGACTGCCCTCTTGTGTTCATTACCTACCACCGCGGCCTGTAAATATGTTGTTGTGGTCACCCATACAAGCATTAACGAAGTTCAAACCTGCTTTATATTCCGAGATCTGGCGCTTTCCGGGTTAATGCGGTCATAGGCAACTTAGGCAAGTTAGGTAACTTAAGGCACTCTGTACAGCTTGTGAAACCTCAGTCCCACACAGCAACGACGACTGACACCGAACCTGTGAATAACATGGAACCCCTCTCTTGAACCAGCGTCGCGATTTCAGTAACACAGCAAAGCTGTCAACCCAGAGGGTTTACCCCGTGTTCTTGTACAGGGAAATCGAGTTTTCGGGTCCTTACGACGTACAGCCGTTTGAATATGACTTTGTAGGATAAACGTTGATATTTATACGGACACGGGGTGACCAATGAAGTCTGAATGGGTCTGTAATAAGATGGGCACTGATACGGAGTTGACAGATACGCCGTCGCTTCCTTCCTGCTGCCATAAAACCCAAAGCCGCTGCTGTGGTTGCTGGCGCTGGTTCGTCAAACTAAAATCATCTCTCACAGTCTCGTCGGCGCTGGTTCATCAAACTAAAATCACCTCTCACAGTCTCATCGTAAACGCGGACAACCCCCATTTGTCAATCCACAGCTGGATGAGTATCCAGCAGTCATGGGAGGGGGGGGGTGGGTTAATTTGGCTGTAATTCATCAACGCTGATCGGCGCAGTGCGGATTGAAGGCACGGGGGGGAGGGACGAGACACGGACAAGACGAACATCAACCGCGATGCGACTCCACGGCGTAGAACTTCGGGTACCGAGAGTGACAAACCCACCACATCGTGGGACACGAGCCACGGGGGGGGCACGCGGGGCCCGGGGCGGGTCGGGGGGGCTCCACCATCCGAGAAGGCCTCGACCGTAGGCCGCAAACACAACACCGTATGGGGGGGGGGGGTACGCACGGTCAACGCGCGTTATACTCTGGGCTGCTGACGGCTCCTCGTGACGAGGAGTGTTGAGAACGAGGCGCTGTTTTACCTGTCGTAGATGAAGAGCTTCTCGATGTTAATCGACTGCATTGTCCGTCCCGCCGTGGCGCTTGTCCACACGGGCGCCGTTGAGAGTGGGGAGAGGGGGGGGTTGCTCCGATGACGTCACCTCCGTAACATGACGTCACTTGTAGTATATGACGTTAAGAAATAACACTTGTGACGTCAACGCCGCTCCCCGGCAAAATGACGTTGTTGACACAAGGGCTCGTTACGTCATGGGGGTGGGGGGGGGGTTCGATGACCGGGGTGTGGCTTCGTCAACGGTGACGTCATAAACGGATGACGTCATAAACGGGTGACGTCATTGCAATGACAAGCATATCGGGGCCATCCATTTAGTACATACGCATGGAGGGGGGTTAGGGGCCGTCCATAAATGACGTCACGCACCTAGGGGAGGGGGGGTCAGACATTTGTGACGATGTGTGACGAGGGGGGGGGGGGGTGAGAAATATGACGTCACATCAAAATGCGCAACTTTAAATAAATATAGACAACACGTTCTACTTAATTAAATAGACTTTTTAATAAATGTTTTCTCCTACAACATCAGAGTGCAGCGCCACATTAAATACGCACGACAATGACAATAGTTTAAAGCGATTTGAAGCATGTTTTATTTTTTGGGGGGGGCAGAGCTTTGTGACGTCATATTTGAGGGGAGTCGATTTTTTGTGACGCCGTGTGACAAGGGGGGGGGGGGGGGTTTCAAAAATCGTCCAAAATTGCGTGACGTCATTTATGGCCAGCCCTTGGTGAATTGCTGTAGATCTGAAACTTGCAAGCGAAAAGCAGACCACGACGTGGTATTCATTGCATCAATTTGTGTGCAATTTGTAAGAGCGCGGTGACACAGACCTATTTAATTTAAAGGTGGGAAAATGTCAAAACTGGGTGGTTTTTAACTTTTGCCGACAAAACTGGATCCCAAATGTCAAAACTGGGTGCACCCTGGGTGGCCAAAAACTTGAGTTTTGGACACTCAGGGTGCACCCAGTTTAGACATTTGTCAAATACACTTGGGATCCAGTTTTGTCGGCAAAAGTTAAAAACCACCCAGTTTTGACATTTTCCCGTGTCGGCACTACATTCGTGCCCTCATGGCGTTTGGGCGGATGCCCGAGCTCTACGACGCATGTGCGGTGTGTTACCAAGTCTCTGCCATCAACACGACATGGACCTCGGTTACCGGTATCGAGCTGCCCATTGCCGAGGAGCTGCAACGCGACAACACCATGATGCCACCTCCTCGCCAGAAGAAGGCTGGCCGCCCGAAGAAGCGTCGGATTCGCAACCGTGGCGAAGGTGGCCCATTGGGCCTCACGCGGTGCTCCTTCTATCGCGCCAAGGGCCACAACAAGCGCTCTTGCCCGTCGAAGTAGTTATATATATGTGTAGAAGTGTTAAAGAGAGGGCCCGTTATGCATGGCAGTCTATGGGAAACAAACACAGTGGGCGGGGCTACGTGTGTGCACGGGGAGATGCCCTCTGCGACGTCCGAGCCAGACACCCTGGGGGGGGCTGGTTCGGCGTTATGATCCCCCGGGGCCCCACCCCTCAAGGAGGGGTTGGGTATAAAAGGGGACGTTATAGGGGCTCGAGTCAGTTATGTTAAAAGCTAACCAAGAAGACTGAAGACGTCTTAGATAGAGCCCTGGACTCCCCTCGTTCGATGTCCTTGTCAGGGCCGAACAGGACTGAGCCAGCGGCGTGGTCCCGAGAGCCAGAGCCGGTGCTCTTCTAAGAGCTGGTCTGAGACTCCGGGTACCGGGCCCGACTTACCAGTGTCGGGCCAAGTAGCCTCCCCTAGCCCAATAGTGGAGGACTGTGAGGCAGGCTAGGACTAGCTAGGAAGTGTATCCTTAGCTAGTCGGGTGAGGGGGCCGCTACCCCCTCCAGTGCTGTATGTCACAAACCGAGTTGTGTTAAATAAATATACGTGTGCCTCCACCTCGGCGTCAAGTGTCTTCACCGGTACTTCATATGTAACAAACATGTTTTGTTCTAAGTGTGCAGCACCATACTTCTCGACGCAAACACTATCTACCGTTGTTCTACTGTAGTAGGTGTAGCATGCAAGCTGGCACACTGTACCAGTATACAAATGGCAAGTTCGTGTATGTTCGCGAGCTGAAAGTGTTACTGTAGTTGCAAGCTGGCACACTGTGCCAGTATACATATGGCAAGTAAGTGTTACTGTAGTAGCGAGCTGGCACACTGTGCCAGTATACAAACGGCAAGTAAGCGAGCTGGCACACTGTGCCAGTATGCAAACGGGAAGTTTGTGGTGCAAGGTATGGAACATGAGCCACGAGAAACATCATTTGGAACGCTCTAAATCTGTGGCGACATATGGATGAATAACGCAAGGACCTAAACGTGTACAAAATGATACATTAAATCGTACACCTTCACCCAGTTTTGACATTTGTCCACATTGAACATCACCCAGTTTTGTCATATCAAAAAGCACCACCCTGTTTTGCCTGTCGTTTTCCAAGACCACCCAGTTTTGACATTTGGGATCCAGTTTTGTCGGCAAAAGTTAAAAACCACCCAGTTTTGACATTTTCCCATTTAAAGGTTATAATCCCTTGTTCATTATGACGTCATTTTACTTTGATATCTCAAAAACGTCACGGAGATCGCGTGACGTCAGGGTTCTGCCTTTGTAGTGTGGAGTGACGTCACCCGATAATTATTATGGATGTGGAGTGACGTCACCTGCTCATGATTATTAATAAGGGGGAGGGTTCATGTGGAGTGACGTCACGAGCGTTAAGGACAGATTCCTGGGTACTATAATAGTAAACTCAGAGACACAGATAACCATCGTGACATGGAGGAATACATTGAGACTCAGAGATACACAGAGACCCATAGAGATACACAGCGACTCAGAGATACACAGCGACCCATAGAGATACACAGAAACTCAGAGATACACAGAGACCCATAGAGATACGCAGAGACTCAGAGATACACAGATACCCATAGAGATGCACAGAGACTCAGAGATACACAGAGACTCATAGAGATACACTGAGACTCAGAGATACACAGAGACCCATAGAGATACACAGAGACTCAGAGATACACAGAGACCCATAGAGATACACAGAGACTCAGAGATACACAGAGACCCATAGAGATACACAGAGACTCAGAGATACACAGAGACTCAGAGATACACAGAGACCCATAGAAATACACAGAGACTCAGAGATACACAGAGACCCATAGAGATACACTGAGACTCAGAGATATACAGAGACCCATAGAGATACACAGAGACTCAGAGATACACAGAGACCCATAGAGATACACAGAGACTCAGAGATACACAGAGACCCATAGAGATACACTGAGACTCAGAGATACACAGAGACCCATAGAGATACACAGAGACTCAGAGATACACAGAGACCCATAGAGATGCACAGAGACTCAGAGATACACAGAGACTCAAGAGATACACAGATACCCATAGAGATACGCAGAGACTCAGAGATACACAGAGACCCATAGAGATACACAGAGACCCATAGAGATACACAGAGACTCAGAGATACACAGAGACTCAGAGATACACAGAGACCCATAGAGATACACAGAGACTCAGAGATACACAGAGACCCATAGAGATACACAGAGACTCAGAGATACACAGAGACCCATAGAGATACACAGAGACTCAGAAATACACAGAGACCCATAGAGATACACAGAGACTCAGAGATACACAGAGACCCATAGAGATACACAGAGACTCAGAGATACACAGAGACCCATAGAGATACACAGAGACTCAGAGATACACAGAGACCCATAGAGATACACTGAGACTCAAGAGATACACAGAGACCCATAGAGATACGCAGAGACTCAGAGATACACAGAGACCCATAGAGATACACAGAGACCCATAGAGATACGCAGAAACTCAGAGATACACAGAGACCCATAGAGATACGCAGAGACTCAGAGATACACAGATACTCATAGAGATGCACAGAGACTCAGAGATACACAGAGACCCATAGAGATACACTGAGACTCAGAGATACACAGATACCCATAGAGATACACAGAGACTCAGAGATACACAGAGACCCATAGAGATACACAGAGACTCAGAGATACACAGAGACCCATAGAGATACACAGAGACCCATAGAGATACACAGAGACTCAGAGATACACAGAGACTCAGAGATACACAGAGACCCATAGAGATACACAGAGACTCAGAGATACACAGAGACCCATAGAGATACACAGAGACTCAGAGATACACAGAGACCCATAGAGATACACAGAGACTCAGAAATACACAGAGACCCATAGAGATACACAGAGACTCAGAGATACACAGAGACCCATAGAGATACACAGAGACTCAGAGATACACAGAGACCCATAGAGATACACAGAGACTCAGAGATACACAGAGACCCATAGAGATACACTGAGACTCAAGAGATACACAGAGACCCATAGAGATACGCAGAGACTCAGAGATACACAGAGACCCATAGAGATACACAGAGACCCATAGAGATACGCAGAAACTCAGAGATACACAGAGACCCATAGAGATACGCAGAGACTCAGAGATACACAGATACTCATAGAGATGCACAGAGACTCAGAGATACACAGAGACCCATAGAGATACACTGAGACTCAGAGATACACAGATACCCATAGAGATACACAGAGACTCAGAGATACACAGAGACCCATAGAGATACACAGAGACTCAGAGATACACAGAGACCCATAGAGATGCACAGAGACTCAGAGATACACAGAGACTCAAGAGATACACAGAGACCCATAGAGATACACAGAGACTCAGAGATACACAGATACCCATAGAGATACACAGAGACTCAAAGATACACAGAGACCCATAGAGATACACAGAGACTCAGAGATACACAGAGACCCATAGAGATACACAGAGACTCAGGGATACACAGAGACCCATAGAGATACACAGAGACTCAGATATACACAGAGACCCATAGAGATACACTGAGACTCAAGAGATACACAGAGACCCATAGAGATACACAGAGACTCAGAGATACACAGAGACCCATAGAGATACGCAGAGACTCAGAGATACACAGAGACCCATAGAGATACACAGAGAGTCAGAGATACACAGAGACCCATAGAGATACACAAAGACCCATAGAGATGCAGATACACGTAGAGACACGTCGAGACAGATATGTTAAAGGCAAGCCACAGTTGTGTGATAGTGGCCGTGCAACCCAAACTATGGACCATTTAACCCCAGTCTCACAGAGACCCATCGGGATGTTAGGGATGTCAGGGGAAGGATTCCCACCAAAAGGAACGGGGAGTGGGACCTTTAACTGGATGTGCATGTATGTTGAACTTCTTTCGCACCGTACGTAGCCAACCGTGCTAATCGGAGGTGCCCATAGAGAAACTCATTGAGACGCGTAGAGACGCATTGAGATGTGTTTAAGGAGAAGTCACAGTCGGGTAATTATGATCGTGCAAGGCTAACTATGGGTCACTTAGTAATTCACTATCGTTGCGCTCATTCAACGAAGTAGTAATATCAATACTTACTAGTCGTAGGCTTTAAAGTATAATATAGCTACATTCCTGTCAACAAAATTATTTGTCAACTGAAATGAGTAACAACTGATCGAAATCTCGGGATAGGAAAAGTATGCCAATCAGCACATTTGGCAACTGGCATCTATTCTGGACTCGGTTAAACATTTACAGATGTGGTTAAGCCATCCCCTCTGCTCGAGTCACGAAGCTGCCATTCCACATTTGGAGTTGGTGGCCCGATGAGAGTGTATTCTAGAAAACGCTAACCTATTGTAAAGACTGTAAGAATTACAACATACACGAATTGTCATGCACGAGAAATATGAAGCCGAGGTGGACAAGATTCTCAAGAAATTTCACATTTCGAAAACATGTGGATTTGCTCTGCCGGATCCCTTGGTAGGCTATTACTTTTATTTGAATTCACAGATACCACCAGCAATGCACAACGTGTGACAATAACTCTCTGTACTTTACATACTTTGTATATAATTGCACATTTACAACTTGTGGTGTAAAACAAAACGTGAAATGTTTTTGATGAGCGTGTGTGCTGTGGTACTGGTCCGTCATGCAAGTTAATTTGTGGAATGTTTTTTTGGTAATGATGGGGGGGGGGGGGGGTGTGGCTGGCTTCACCAAAGGCGATCAACATCATTTTTCTCTCGTTTTGTAAAAAAAAAAGATTGTCATTTACTCTGCTTATTCGGCATGCAAAACTATTTTTTCTTTCCTATTAATGCTGTAAAAATTATTTATCGCATTAATTTTCGCATATTGAATACATGACAGTACAGTATACTGTAATTACAACAATAATTTACAGCCCTTCGTCAGTCTACTGATGGATGAAGTGCTGCCCATGCCATATGGGTCATGAGGGTTGGTAAACGAGGGCCCAGGAACGGTCAGACAGCACTTGCCACCGATGATATCCCCATAATTACAATACCTGTACAGTACTGTGCTGCAATTGATTATAATTTAAAATAGCTCATGGTTGGATCCTATATTGTACCACTATAATACCATCATCATCATGGTGTATCCACTGCCATCTCTGTGGTGGATATCTTCTTGGGCGTTTCATCCGTTGGCTGCCACTCTGTCATTAACCTTGACCACTGACCATCATCCATTACAGCTCTTTTGTCCTGCTCACGCTTGGAATTAATTACCTTCCACGACGCAAAGAGAAATACGTGGATTCTAAAACATACGCAAGTTATAATTTTGGCATCACATTGACTGTAAGTGGGCTTGAGCAAACCGATGCTAAGAGGGGTGATGACTTTTGATCGGGACTAATGATGAAGGTGCACCCAAAGAGGTTACGTCAATCATCGAGCAGTTAGATGAGCTCGTGTATGGAAGTGAGATGAAGGCTCGGGAGGGTGGGGAGGGGCTGGGTGGGGTGGGGAGGGTGGGGCTGGGTGGACAGGGGAGGGGTGGTGCTGGGTGGGGGGTGGGAGGGGTGGGGCTGGGAGGGGTGGGGCTGGTCACCCCGTGGTGCCCTTATAAAACTCAATGTTTAACCTACTCACGCCGGCTTGTGCCCGCCCTCACAGTCGGCCATATTTGCGGAATACACCACGCCGCCGTTAACCCTGGCCATTGACCGAGCAACCCAACGTTCCTACCAGCTCCCTCCGCAGGAATGTGTTATGACCATTCTGTGTCGGTGATGTTACCTGCAGACCAGCCTCCCTGAATACTATGCCCCATGGATGGAGCTTGCCGCCAACCTTACAGAGCTCATAGAGACACATACTCTGCGGGAGCGGGTCATGCAGGTACGGTATGTTTTAAAAACACCCCACGAAGTACATTTGATACTTGTGTAGCACTTACGAACATTAGAGATCATGTCCAGTTCGGTAGTTGCACATTTCATTGTTTTAAATATACAAGGTGCTTCAAAAAAATGTGAACACTTCCGAGAATTTGCAACATTACCACAATAAATGCGCCTCCGGGTTCTGGAGACCACCTGGAGAAGATTCCAGGCACGCGTTGACAATGATGGCGAACAAGTGGAGACTTGTTGAAGCTATGAACATACATTTGTTATAATGTTACAGTGCATTATCTGTTCTTTTTCCATTTTTGAAGCACCCTGTAGCATAATAAAAAGGCTGCTTAATCTCAGCTTTCTCATCTACTTCCGCCCCCTGCATCACAAGGCTTCAGTTTGAGCTCCATCGTTGCCTCCCAGTCCACAGCCCGCCCACACACTCACCATGGCCCCCCTTCCCTTCATCCCCCGCGACTATATAATTCCTTGTCACAGCCATCTCTTAGACACACTTAAGCGGTTGTGCTTTCGCTACGTTGTCCCCACCTGAAGAAGGACGCTTGTGTTGCGCCCGAAACGTCGTGATTTCATTTAGTTGTTTTCATTTATTTTATTTTTTACCTACGTGACTTTACCGAAGAAAAAATAAAGGATTTAAAAACAAAGTTTTTAAATCCTTTATATGCGTGGCGGCTTGAGTCCTCTCGTCCTCTGGCTTGAGATGGCTGCCACCTATGGGTCAGATGATTGTCTGCAGTATTAAACAATTGGTAATTAAATATAATATTTCTGTCCTATAAAGTGTAAAATTTCGGAAAAAATTTTTCACGAACATTAATTGTCACGCACAACGAGTCTGTGTGGAAAATGTCAACTCGATTGGATCATGGGAAGTGGGTTAAAAAACGACCGAAAGATTTACACGGTCGTAAGCAAGCAAGCAAGCACGCAAGCAAGCAAGCGAACTTAATATAAAGAATTTAAAAAGAGTATGAATCCTTGCAGTCACGAAAGCTTCAAATCTAGAACTCTGTGATATGCCATGGGCCTTTGGTGTCGGCATGCAAACACCGATGGACGTGCAGACTTCTTCCCGAACTCCAACTTGAAACCTGGACTAGGTCTCACAGTTCACATGGTGCGCGTGTCTGTCCTTCACGGCTTTCCACTGGTACTGACTGGTTGTTACAACATTGACGTAACGTTTGAGCTTGTATGTTGTAAATTTATAACACGTTGCAAATTGTGCTTTTGCATATTCCTACCGTAACTGGCATGCCATAAAATGGCTAATGTATCAGCACATTTACAGTGATGTTATTTCTTTTTTGTTCTCAATCTTTTATACAGCATCATTAAATAGCAGCAGCGTCTTCTTGAGCAGTTGCAGTGGTGTAGCTATCGAGCGTGCAGACGGTGCAACTTCATCGGGGACTATGAGCTGGTGGGGCACAAACATCAAGCTACGAAGAAGGGGAGAATGCAAACAAGGGGCTTTATTTCTTGTATCAGGGCCCATGCCAACAACGCTATGCCAATGAGTAATTATACAGAGCGAATATAAATATCCCTAAAAGGTATGCTTAAAAGTATGGTCATGGATGAAATTCAGAGCTGCGTAATATATCCCGCACCTCCAATTGGCATGGTTGGCTACGTATGGTGCGAAAGAAGGTGAAACTGTACAAAAATATAAAATATTACATTTTGCATTCATATTTCGACAGCACCACTTTGCTATGGGTTTCAGGTCGATCCAATGCCAAGCATAATCTGGTGTCTCAGTCGGGGTGTGAGAAATGTTTGCCCATTACGAATGTGACTGTTCTAAAAAAAAGGCTTAAAATATAATGAACCACATAACCGAAACATACAGCAGTTCCCATTTAGAACAAGCAGCAAAGGTCTGAAATAAAAAGCCAAACACTTCGCATTCACAAGTTGCCGTTAAAAAGTGACTACATTGGGTGTTCTCGGCGTTGTACTGATTTGGAATGAGTGGAAAAAAATAGAATTAAGAAGACAGACCCGACGTGAGTGACAAAATCGTTGTGAAGAAGAAGCAGTTATACTTATTTGGCCACACCTGAAATGGAACAATGTGAACCCTCTGGTGATCTTACGCTTCTTTGTGGTTTTCTAAGCTCAGTGCTTAACTCATACGTTGCCACATGGGGGCATCATTGCACTGCCGCGTTACATTCTAACGGTTAGACTGTATAGTCTGCAGCAAAAGGTCATCTGGATAAACCTTTTTTCCATGTGTACATTACAGCTATTACTCCATTACGTAACTTATATGAACACATAGTAATAGGTTTTTACCCTTTCAACTGGTACAAAAAACTGACACCTTTATACAAGGCATCATGTTTAAAATAACCACAACACAAGCAGTCAAAATGCAAACAAAAATAAACAACTCTGATGATGATAATGATATGCACTGTCCTTGAAGTTGATTGGTCCACACCCGAGACAGCTTTTCTTAGAGCCTCGTCTCCATTGGTGTTGGACCAGATGACGCCAAAAGGCGTACAACTCAAAAACAGTGCACTATCAGAGTATTGAGAGCTCTGGGTAAGCATTTACACTATGAGACCTCCTTTACCAGTAGCAAAATATAGTAATAGGTTTTTACCATTTCAACTGGTACCAAAAACTGACACCTTTATACAAACAGTTTTTTGTACCAGTTGAAAGGGTAAAAACCTATTACTATATTTTGCCACTGGTAAAGGAGGTCTTATATGAACACGTGTACGTGTGCAGTTGTTCACCAGTGTTGTCTACAATATTCTACCGGTGTCCTCCAGATGCCTGAGCTGAGCAGTGGGCTTCTCCAAAGCCATTACCAACTTCGACTCGCTCACCTGGTTCTCAGCTTCATCACGTCAGGTGTTGTGTGGCAAGAAGGAGACAAAGCCCCCACCAAGGTCACTTTATTCCTGCACCCTTCTTCCTCAGCCTCCCACTGCTCCTCATGCATAATTTCCTTGTCACATTGGCTTCTGCCCAGCAAAATAAATCCTCTCTGAGATCTGGATATCGCCTAAACGTTCGGTCATTCGATGAGCCGTTATTTGTTTAATACTGTAAAATAACTGTTCAAAAACAACAACATACCACATCCACAGATAGCTATTGGCCAATTTAAATGTAACAACTACATAACTCCTTTTATCCATTACCCCATTACTCCTGACTCCTATTATTAGGGAGATACTATTTTTCCAATTATCTACGATTATCTCTGTTTTCCCTCAGTTATACGCAGAACCGCTTCCTATTATCGATAAAAAAATTGCACAAAAGATAAGTTATGTTGCAAATTAACCATATCATCCGTGAAGTTTTATCCCATGGAATAATGGAGTAAACCCACTAATAACCCTCGCCGATAATAGGATCCGCGAAATTGGTCCCCTACATCACCATGCATAAGTTATCTTTTAACTTTGCAAGCAATGCACTTTCAAACGTACCTAAAAAGACAGCTTGTTACGTCTAATGCTAAGTTAACCAACTGATTGTCGTGACGATGATGTTTTGTAAGCCCATGTGTCTCTCCTTATCAAATGAACACTGCTCTGGGTACAGGTGCTACCCCGAAGTGTGGCGGTGCCGTTTTTCGCGGTGTCCAAGTGCCTGGGCCTCCCTCCCATCGTCGTGCACGCCGATGGTGTCCTTGCCAACTGGAGGAGACGAGATGCAGACGGGTACACCCTTGACAAATGTTTATTTTGGATCAACCTTTGGACTCGTCTTTTTTATTTTTTGAACACAATGATACACCTCCATGGCAGTTTATTTGTTAATAACATGTTCACTTTTGTCTTCTTTTTAAAATAAAACACACTCATGTCTGCATTACCAAAAAGGGACAATTTGCTAAAAGTGATGTGCCTCGACCATATCTTCAAAATTTTAATTGAGGTCCTCCAGCCCAAATTATATTTACACAGAAATGCATATGTAAGCTTCAGTAGAAATGCATATAACACTACCGAACGTGTTATTGCAGCATTTAAAAACACAATGCATTCTGTAACAACTGTAGTGTATGACACTATATGTTTAATAACGTTTGTCATACCGTATTAGTTGCAATATAGAGCAATATAGAAGTACACATAATCACTTAATATAGGTTATTCCGCATATTGAATATACTTTCTTTTGCACATTAGAGATATGTATTTTTGTAAACAAGTAAGGAAAGTCATATTTCAAATAATAAGTTTGTGGAAAACATTTCAGTGTACTGTACGCTTGAGGTGAAAGATACTCCTTACATTTGCTTACACTTGTTTGATATTTTTCGAGCATATTTTTTACCGCTGTCTTTTTAAAGTGAACATTAATTGTTTTTCTTTTTTTTACATATCCTTTTGGTCCCGAATGAAGACCCATGACGATCGAGTAAGTGGGCGACAATTCTATTTTAGACACAAAAGACACCATTCAATAAACCAACTACGCACATTCAGATTCAATGTCCTCACTTACAACCAATCCATCAGGTGGCAGCACTAGATTCCATTGCTCAGAGTCTCATCTTTAATTGCATTAAAGCAAATACTTTCATCTCTGCATTATCCAGTTACCAAAGCGGGTTAGTGTCGTTATTGATGTATTATGTATATTGAACTTCTTTCGCACCTTACTGTAGCCACCCGTGCTAATCGGATGGTGACACATTATAACCATGGCACACGACCGTATCCTATGATTCTTAGTTCAAACAGGCATGTGCCAAGACACCATAGTGTGGTCACGCTACAAGGGATGATGGTTGACGGACGAGACTGGTGACACAGAGTGGCAGCCATCGAGGGATCTCACGGCTGTGGAAGACAAAGCAATGAGATGAGCTCCTGCGTCAGCGGACTGTGCAGAGTAGCGGCGACATGGGTAGGCCTTCATCTAGCAGTCGATAGATGGTTGATATTTACACAGACGTCCTCTTGCAGAGCAACCGCAGTACTAGCGAACAGATTTCTGAACTGTTTGGAACTCCAAATGAAAGTACTGGATGGACTTCATGATGACCAACACATCACTTTCCACATTGCATGTATCATCATAGTCATTACCATCAGCATTGGAGGCCAACAGTGAATCAATTCACTCCTGGATGAAGGCTTCCCCAAGCCATTGACAAATAGCCTCATAACAAACAACAAAAACTTTTGGAAATAATCTTTTTCCATTTAATATTGGTACAGAAAGTGTGATCAAACATTCCGAACAACACAATTTAATGTAATTTCCCTTGATAATCTGAAATATTGTCAAAAAAAATACTATTCTTTTTATGTTCCTAATTATGAAATCCAAGATGGATTAGCATCTGTACTGAAATATCCACAGGAGGGAGTGGTGGCACAGTGGATAACGCACTGTATTGTGAACTCTGAGTCCAGATCGATTCCCAGCCAATACTTAACATCAGTGGCGTTTGATAGCTAATCTGGTCATAGCCCCCCCCCCCCCCCCCATTCACGAACCCGCATTGACCAGCATGAACCGTGGTCACACAACCTCCATGACCATCGCGGCTCAGGGAAGCTTTCACCCACCAATGGCTTTGCAAAGGGTTGTGCAAGATGTTCACAGTTCCAGACTTTACTTACTGCCTGTCCTAAACTCTCCGTGACCTCCGTCCCCGGTTAAGTAAAGTTGCCATATCCCTTGTATGATGCCGTGGTCAGGAACCTGGATACGTTGGTGAGATTCCCAGGTGGGGCCAACAGTCGATACTTCTTCCTCTGCACCGTCATGGTGGAGTTCGCCGCTGTTCCGGGCTTCATTGTAAGTTAATGGTGATGCTGCAGAACGTCAATAATTATGCATACATCATGGATGAGAAAGACACTGCAGCAACTGAGCCCTCCATTACGAGAAACGGGGGAACAAAGCCCACAGTGTAACACATGTATTGCCACGTTCCTTGGTTCAAATCTAGTTTAAAATACAGTACAATGCATTCTGAAACTGAGCTAATCTCAGCGATGTCACCGAGATGACAAATCTCTGCTCATGTGCAGAGATCATGGCTGACTTTTAATGGTAACAATGTTGCCTCTTTTCCCACCTCCGATTCCTCCCAACGCCTGCACATTCTCACAGGGCTTGGTGAAATGTGTGGAGGCCGTGAGAGCTGCAGATGAGGCCACGCTGAAAGAGTCGCTGTTGGAGGTGGCTGAAGCGATACACGGCATGATAAAGGCCTTGTCCACCATGCATGGTGTGTCCGCATTACCTCAGACTCGAACTATTACAAACATTGGCATTGAGCCCATCCCTTTATGAGCTCACAGTGAGCATGATATTCAAGAGGGCTGGTCTTAAGGGTATATGATCTGAGTGGAATCCCAGGGATTACATCTGTTCGAGCTGTCAAAACTGTATGTAAACAGAGTTATTCAAAGTTGCATTTTTTGGTACCAATGTCTCATGAAATTCTTTATTTAATGGGGGTTGCTGAGCACAGGCCCCCGGTTAGAAATGTCAACTAACCAGTGAACACGTTTCTTGAATTGAGTGAGGTTATAAGAGCTTCGGGAAATAAAAATGGAAGGGGATTCCAAAGTCTGACAGTGCGAGGGAAGATTTAGAAAGATACGTGCTTGACGTGCAGTGTGGTGCTTGAGCACAGTAAGGATGAGACAAAACCGGCAGCCCGGTAGACTTATTCCTGAACATGAATGAAGTGATCAACAAGTGTAGGTCACAGGCCCAGTAACCATTGTCGTGGTGATAGAAGAGTACCAAGGAGGTGACTGACCGCCAGTGAGTGAGTGGAGGTGACTATTACTCACTCACTAATCGAAGGTGACGCACCTCCAATTCAACATACATACAATGAGGTAAGGAACTGGGTTCCCCACCGCAGATATGACAACAGTATTCCAAAATTGGTGCTTTATATAGTACAGGGGTAACCATTTGTTCGGAGCTCAATAAAGCTTTGAAAAGAAAACAAAGCCTTTTTATGCATCCTTAGACACAGTCATAAAGCCGTTCCATGACAGGTTAGATAAAATGCTACGCTAGGCAGATTAATGTTTTTTCCATGGCAAATAATATCATTAAATATGATGGGAGGAATTGTGGAATTGCCAGCCTTATGTGATTATATCCTCGATGAGATGTTTTTGAGTTGTGTACTGTGCTGCATTTGTATACAAATGTAAAAAAATACAAGAAAAAACATGACATTACAGTATGGTTTGCCAACATCAAAAATGAAGAGAATAAATAAATGGGAGTAAAATTACCACGTAATATAAAGATGTCAGTAACCCTGCAAACTTGATGTTTACATACGATTTACGAATGCATACTTTTAAAGGTTTTGTGATTGTGTTTTTATAGATCACGTCGACCCTGCAGTATTTTTTGGAGTAATCAGGATCTTCCTATCTGGGTATTTGCTAAAACACAGTTTGCGAGACCACGTTGAATCTATGTACTTGCCAATCATTGCTATCTCATAATAACAATTTACAACTTTTTGTCAACCAATTGCTGGACGAAGACCTTTGCGTGCCATGTCAGCCATGGAGTTGTTTGGTCATGTTGGGTTAGTGAAAGAAGAGACCTTTGTAACAATTCATATTTCACTCGCCACTGATATTAGTTTGCTTAATTGTATAAAAGTCAGTTGTAGCATGGTACAAAAGCTTATATCTTATATCTATTCACTGAAATATTAATTCACTACAGTAATTTTGCTGTGGCTGTTCCACCTGATGACGGAAGCTTGTGTTGCCTCCGAAACGTCGTGATTTAATTTAGTTATTTTCATTTTATTATTTTTTTCATTTACGTGACTTTACCGAAAGAACCAAAGAGTATGGATCCTTGCAGTCACGAAAACTTCAAATCTAGACGTTCGTGATGTTTAGCATACATCACGCGTGTGTGTGTGTGTGAAACAGCTGGATGGATAACCCGGTGCTCGATGGGCTGCATTACGAAGGAGTTGGAGACACCCCCTACAAGTATTCTGGGGGCAGTGCAGCACAGAGCTCTCTCTTGCACTGTTTTGATGCGGCCCTGGGCATTGAACACGATCCAAAGCATGGTACCAATCAAAAACTGCACCCACACCGAAAACACACACCCCAGGTAAACTGACAACAGCTTCTGTTCAACATCTTTGCCTCTCAACAGCTATTATAAAAGCCCGGCATTGCGTTTGTCAATTTGTTTGTCAACTAAATTATAAGAGCCTTTCACAAGCCCTGAATCAAAAAGTAAGAGAGATTGGACGCACCCTCAGATGTGGGGGTAAAAAGTTGATCCAACAGGATTCCAAAAAGTTTCGACCTCCCCTAAAGAAATGTGTAACCCCCCAACCCAAAAAAAACCCTAAATGTCTTTGTACATAAAATGGAGTCCAGATTTATTTTGTCGGCAGGAGTTATAAGGCAGTCGTAGGCCGCCGAAATTCGAGTGTGATAAATTGACACTGCAGTACATGCCGTCTACCTACGTGACTTTACCGAAAGAACCAAAGAGTATGGAGACATAAATGTGAAGATTTTTTTTTGTTTATGGCCGAGGCACAACATAATACTGAAATATTAATTGACACTTCTAAAGCGCCTTTCACCTGGAGGTCACAAGGCACTGTTCAAAACATAAACACTCAGGCTCACTAAATTTCGATTTAAAGCTTTCGTGACTGCAGGGATGCAATTCTTGGTTCTTTCGGTAAAGTCACGTAGAAGGGAAATAATAAAATAATTTTTAAAAACATTATAAAATACAATTCTCACGACGTTTCGGCCACAACGCAAGCAGCCGTCCTCAGGTGAAGAACAGGGCTGTTGGAAAGACAGCCCTGTTCTTCCAATAATATACAACCCCAGAGCAAAGTATTCAATGAATAGAAAATGCGTTAAATAAATCCTTAAGTTCGTCTTAAGACCTTATTCTAAAAAGCGCGGCGGTCAGCAGAGCGAATGTCCAGGAGTGAATTCCACAGCATTGGGGTGACACGAAAAAAGGCCAGTCACCCATCATCATACAGAGAGAGGGACATGCCCTTGGCGAACACAAAACAGGCTAGACTCGAAATACCAAAGTACAGTTGTGGAAACACATTGGGGAAGGAGGTCCTCTTCTTCTTGGTCCTTTCGCTAAAGTCACGTAGAAGGGAAGTAATAAAATAAGAAAAATAAAACATAATAATAATATATTGTTATATTATTTTATTATGTTTTATTTTAATTTTATTTTTATTATTGTATTACTTCCCTTCTACGTGACTTTACCGAAAGAACCAAGAAGATGAATCCCTGCAGTCACGAAAGCTTTAAATCGAGAAGGAGGTCCTGTATGAGAGGGCAGCATTATTTAGAGCCTTGTAGGTGAGGCAAAGATGATTTAACTCTACTAAAAACCAGACCAGCACAGGGGCAATGTCAGTGCCGGATTCACCTCGTAGCAAAAGCAGCTACTACATATGCTACGGGCCCGGCACTTTCAAGGGCCACGCGCTAAATGCTTTCAAGCTATCAATTCCGGTTCAGTGATTCTGCACTTGCTCTATAACTATAGTACTATACCGCCTTCAACTTTTACGAACGACTGGGTGTTTAAGATTAGCGATTTGTTGTATTATCTGGCTGTATAGCAAATGAAAAAATACAATTACTTTACTATGCAAGTTCAAAATTAGTATTTTAATATTTGTGTGTTTTTTATATTTAGGGCCCCTTTATAACATATGCTACAGGCCACGCACTAGCTTCATCCGGCACTGGGTGATGTGTTCAGCGTTGCCTTAAGAATTCTGGCAGCCGTTTCTGCAGGTGTTGCAAGCGACCGTTTACAGTATTCATGGGGGGTGCCATAAAACAGTGACTTTCAAGTCAATACGAGATCAAAACAAAGCATGAACCAGGTTATCAGTATCCGATAGTGAAAGAATGGGGCACAGCCTAGTTATATTTTTTAAATATGAAAAAAGGAAGCCTTAGTGATCTTGTTAATGTGCGCTTCAAAGGTGACGAGGCATCAAGGAAAACACCAAGACTGCAAACTGCCTCAGCAGCACCAACATTGTGGCTATAGATTGTCAGACGGACCGAACCAGCATTGGAAAGTTGGTGTGGGGACCCAACAAACACCTCCGTCTCATAGAAATTCAACTGAAAGAAAAAAAATCGGATTTCATACAAGACTCGTCTTGAGTAAAATCCGATGCTTGAGGTGAAGATTTTTGCACGAATGTTAATTTGAGTGTCATCAGTATAACAACGGAAGCCGAGGCCGAGTTTGTGCAAAACAAGGCCGAGTGGGGTAATATATCAAAATCCGAATATTTATACTGGAGGAATCCGATGAGCTATAATGCTCTTTTCCAGAGATGTTATTTTATTTTATACCTACGTGACTTTACCAAAAGGACCAGAGTATGTCCAGTAGGGACGGGTAAGAACATTACAACAATAAACAGTACAAACACACGATAGTAGTAAAAAGTATAAAAACGGTAAAAAAAAGCACCCAACACATAAAACTAAACCATCCCCATCCTACCAGACAAAAGCCACCTGAGGCATTCACTTATTTTTCAGAAGCGACTTGGTTACCACAAATGAAATACAACAGTGGGCCAAGCACCGAACCCTGAGGCACACCGAAGAGAATAGAACACGTGTCCCAATGTTGACCTCCAGTGCCAACGAACTGCTTTTGATCGCGGTGGTAGGAAGTAAACCAGTGCAAGGCAATGCCAGAAACTCCCATGCAGCCTGTGCCGCACGGCCCAAGGGTGGCACAGTCGGGTTTTTTACAATCGGGTTTAATTGTCTTTTTATATTAAACCCGATCATCTGAGATTGGGAAAAATCCGGTTCAATTGGTTCTAATTGCAGAACCGCACTTTGCCAACTTCTCAACGATGGGCTTCATCCATTCCAAGCTAAGGAACTCACTGGCGCCCACGATTGTGGAGAAGCTTGTGTTCATCAAGACCAACCTGCCCGCCGCATTCTACGACTACCCTGTGCCAGACGGCCCCGAGTGCGATAGCAGCACCGGCGAGGAAGCAGCCTAAGCCTATCAGAGTTTCGTATTCATTAAACCAGGTTTTAATTCCCCGAAATCGGGTTTAATTGTATTAAAGAAAAAACCCGATGCCTGCCGCTGGAAAAATGGGGTTTATTTCCACCCATGGCACAGCCACACCAATGAGCTATAGGCCCCCTTGCAAGGTATGCTGGACATGAGCCGTGGCGGGTTGGTAGAAAAGGTCTTCGAGGCAGATGCAAACCACGACGGGCTGGTCCTGGATTGCATCTGGACACATGTTAAAGGGATGATTAATTCGAAGCAAAAATAATGGTTTACCTGTTCAGGGAACTCGCCAAAAGACCTGCATGTTGGAATGACTGGAAATGTGATGTAGAGGCGTTATTATATTTTTGGTTCTTTCGGTAAAGTCACGTAGTGACTTCACGTAGTGACTTTACCGAATTATTTCCCTTCTACTTTACCGAACGAACCAAGAATATGAATCCCTGCAGTCACGAAAGCTTTAAATCGAGAAGCGTTATTGTTGCACTGTAGGGATACCGTAACACTGTCGTGAATGGATGATGCAGCCGGGACTTCGTGTTTCGTGATCTCATGGCACGTGCCATGTGAATTTTCGTTCATGCTGAAATTCAATTTCGTTCATCGAAAAGTGTCCATAATTTTTCAATTGCGTTCACGTGAAATTTCGCACCTCTGATTAGCACATTTGGCTACGTACCGTGCGAGAGGTTCAACACACATCCGTAAACCAAACGTTCGTAAATCCAGGCATACCTTAAGCCGTGCTTAGATTCATACACTTATCCAACCCAAAATGTTATTGTATCCTTTGTGAACACAGGATCATTCCTGGTCCGAATGCGGGAGTACATGCTACCGCGGCACAGCGCCTTCATTTGCTGGCTCGCCGATGGGCCCTCCATTCGCCACTTTGTTTCGCGGTCCACACCGCGTGCGGCGTACAACGCCTGCGTGTCCGCCCTGACGCGGCTGCGCTCGGAACACGTTGCCATTGTGACGCGGTACATCACGGTGCAGTCGGCACGAGCGAGGCGGGAGGCGACCTCGCCAGCCGGATTCGCCCTGGCGGAGAAGGGCACGGGTGGCACAGCGATCCTGCCCTTCCTCAAAGGAGTCCGAGATACCACAGCTGCCGCACTAATCGAATAAGTCCTCCACTGAGTTCAAGGAGGGCTATCCCGTACTGAATGGAAAGCTGCTTATAGCAGCCTACAGCTATGGAGGCTTTTTCAGCATCTGTAGTATGGCAGGGTTAACAGGGGTAGATGGAGGCAAGTTGTTCCAAAAAATAAGTTATATTTGTTTAGCGATAGTAGAGATGTCTGATTATAACAGTTACATCTGTCAAAACAAATATGCATTTCGCCAAATGATAACTATATGCATAATACAAGGATGCACGGTCTGCAGTTTAACTTTAAATATGGTTGTAACGTGCTTGAATTGTCCATTAACAATATGGAAAATAAATATCCTTATAGATCTTGGTGACGGTCACCACTCTTATGGTTTGGGTTTTGAAAGCCTGATACATTTTAAAATGTGTCCAATTTTTTATCTGACAATGCTTTGTTCTGGATTAAATGGTCAGCAAGGATCAGTGACTCAGGTGCTTTGATATTATCTGAAAACAATAGGAAAGTGATTTATTTTAAGGTTATGACAATAATTATTTTATAACACCACTGTAATAAAGTTTACCTCTAAACTAATCTATGATATGAAATGTTGCAGTTAAATTTGTTCACGAATTTGTAAACAAGATTAAAAGCACGTGTGCATTTGTTAAAATAAACACGCTTATAATACTATATTAAACATTTATGGAGCATGTATTATGATGTAAACTGAAATTACAATTACAGAGATATGGCAGAAGTAGAGAATTGTGTCATTCTTGAAAATATAATGTGGTGAAAGAGATATGCAATACCTGGTGCCACATCCGTGAAGGAGGCATCCATTTGATAAGTTTGATTCAAATGCAATGCGTATGTATTTCGCAAGGTTACTACATGAAAGGGATGCTGCCATGGTGTCATGGTTATCAGACTGGACGTGCAATCCAGAGACTTCCACTTTGATTTCCTAACGTGGCAAGAGAAAAAAACTGGGGCAAATTTCTGAAATCCTCACATCTCTGTCCACCCAGCAGTAAAAATGGATACACCACGGTTAGTCGATCGACAGGTCACATGTGATGGAATTAAAGTACAAGTATTCCCACCTCTTCCAGCGTAGAAGGTTGGGTCCAAATATTGCTCACGCAAACAGTGGCATGAACAAGGGTTTCTAACAAAAGCATCTTGTGATACCACGACCATGATACAACTTTAAGATATCCACCCATGTGATCATTAGCGAGTGTCCTGAATGATTGAACATTTCTCTAGGAATACTACACTTATGTTGGCAACGATCATGGTTTGTGGAATACTTCACATCGGTATAGATAAAATATGCGAGCTCACCAAACGGTAGCCCACCCAACACAGCTTACCAAAGGGTAGACCGCTGGCCAACAATGAAGGCCATCAGGACAGCACATTGCTAGGGAGCACAGTAGCAGACAAGAGACCATACATTACAGTCACCAGCTTTGGGAGTGACTAAATCTTAAGTAAAAATCAGTTTTTATGTCATTTTAGTGCCAGTCATAATTATATCTACAAAAAAACCTTACATCTATATATGAATGTCTGTGTCCAGATGTACTAGTTTGAAGAAAAAACAGTGCAATAGTCCAATGAATAAAAAATGTTATTTATAAATGGAGATACAGAATGGAGTTCTGCTTATATATGCTGTTGAAATAATACTTATGAGTAGTGGCAGGCCGTGTATTTTACACCTAGGCTTTCAGTGCTATCCTGCCGCAATTAAACCACCTTCGAATTAACTCACCATGACACTAGGGCTATAGACTATTGTTATAAGACATAACCACCCCATATTGAGTGACAGTAACCTTTATCGAGTGGAATAAAGTTATTTAACACGAGGCTCAACACCTATGAGAGTTACAATACACGAATTGCAGAGATATTAATACATGATGACTGAAACCATCAAGGATGTACCACTATTACGCAGTATGACAGGATGCTGTCAAATAGACATCACATCGTCCAAATCAATGTCATGACCAAAGAAACAAGAACAAACTCACAGCAACCAGTCACATTTACTCATACGACCACCAAGCAAGCAAAAATGCCGTAAAACACAAATAACACAATCAGGATTCAACAGGCTTCCCCACAAAAAAAAAATCTAAACGTCACGAAACAAAGTTGTAATAAATCTTAGATTATGCTACGTTATGTGCTAGCTAGTTTTACTTCAGTATTCAAAGAATACGCCCAACATGGCAAACTCGAAATGTGATTGGTTAAAGAATATGACAATCAACAACATCGTTCCGATTTGCTTCAACAGCAGAGGGGATTCACTCGACATTCTGAAGGCCTCAGGGTAGATTTTTCACCCGGAGAGGTGGAGACAGCACAGGTGGAAAATCTTTATTAGATAAAAGCTCTTCATTTATGAGCTGCACTGAAAGCAGCGCAACTGAGGGAGAGAGTAGCAATGACATGACGTTAATAGACTGTTGAGAACGAACTTTGTAAAATACATATAACATTAATGAAAATATATATCTAAAAACATAATTTTCTGATTCTGACAATCTCTAGGCCAGCAGAGAAGGCCTTGCTGGCACTGACGGGGGCCCGCCTCTACTTATGAGTGACTGTACAGGTCTCTGAGTGATGCACAGTTGTCTCAACGAACCAGTTTTTTTATGACCACTCATTGTGTTTAAATTTAAACTACTAAAAGTAATTGCCCAGTCCTGTTGCAGCCTCATATGCATATACATTTCCTGAAGTAATAAACTTAAAAGAGAAACCACCTTGCATTTATTGCATTTATGTACATTGCCAGGTTATAAAATAAAGTAATATAATTTTAGGAGTTGGACTTTATCGCTGCAGATAAGGTTGACAAGAGAGATTACTTATAAAGATTGGTAACTTATCTTTTCGTAAACTCTGCACTTGAATATATTTTGTGGGTCCCACAAAAAATAAAGGTGAGGTTATAGGTCTTGGCACATAACCTTGTCATAGGATGTCTACCAGGGAGCCATGTGGAAGTGTTCATCACCATTATTAATAATTTAAGTGAAATGTGTGATGCAGGAATTTTCATGTCATGAAGTTGCATGTCTACAGTGAATGAAGCTGTGGGCTATGCCATATTGAGTAAGTGAATACATTCATAAACATATAACTCTTACAACATAGGTTATCACGAGCACATATTGTTTATACATTGTAAATACAATTGTACAAGATTAGTGCAGTTGCGATATTTATTTATTATAGCTCGAGCGTCATGAAGTTTTTTTTACTTCAATAAATTCCTTCTTGGTTCTTTCGGTAAAGTCACGTATAAGGGAAGTAATAAAATAATAAAAATAAAACAATCAAAATGATGAGAATTATTTTATTATGTGGTATTTTTATTATTTTATTACTTCCCTTCTACGTGACTTTACCGAAAGAACCAAGAAGATGAATCCCTGCAGTCACGAAAGCTTTACATCGAAATTCAATAAATACCTTTTTAAGGATTGACAAAGAGTTCCAAAATCCTCCTGTACAGCAGAATTAGTGGAAGACGGGACTGGAGGCCATCCAAGGGAAAAAATGGATAAATAACATCAATGAAGATGGTCTGGAATTGGCAATCATATTAAAAAATTATACTGGATAGGCAAAACAGTTGACTGGAATTTGCAATAATATAATCTCGGAAGTGGCAAGGATAGCCATAGACAGACACAGTTGGAAGTTGACCATGGGTTGGCTGTGAAGGAATGGTGATCTGTAAGTCACTGAGGCATTCAATGGAAAAAATTACTTCCCAAGGGCCCGTATTTCTACATATTTAATACACAGTATTTACAGTATATCATATAACATATGGAAAGTGGAAGAAGAGGTATTGCTGAACTTATACATGTGTAGTGACATAGAATTGATCACTACGTAGCATAGCGCTGGTTGCTGGCAGAGAAGGGGATCTGCTGTTGCAGCAGTCCTGACTGACAGCAGGTCACGTGATAAACCAGAGATAGGGATGTAGGGGAAAGGTTACGGAGGGGGCCCGTGAGGGAAGCCCGGGAACTGACGAGGAGGTTCGAGAAAGGGAGCGTGTCTGGGGTGAAACGAGGCCATGCTGGGAGGATAAAAGGGGACCCTGAGCGGGAGCTCGGGGCTGTCGTCTGGAATGGGATCCCGTCGTGCTGCTGGAGTCTTCGTTGCCGTCTACGTCTTCACCTTTTCGGCGTCGTCAGTCAGGCAGTCTGCCAGCTGTCCTGACTGGGAGCTGTAGTTACTTTGTGTGGACTGTGAAGGCTTTTATTAAATAGAGTGCCTCCTACTTTTAGTGTCTCTGAGTCAGTCACTACACATGTGTAGTGGCATAGTGCTGGCTGCTGGCGAAAAAGGGGAACTGCGGTGTACGGCAGTATTGAAGTCAGCAGGCCATGATAGACATGAGAGGGGGACATCTAAGGGAAGGTCACAGAGGGAGGCCCATCGGGAAGCCTTGGGTTCAGAGAGGGGGCGTTAGTGTTTTGTATAGGCTAGCAACCCACATAGAGTTGTGTATAGGCGATCGACTGTAGAGTGTCCAAATGATGGGCCACTTTAATGAGCTATCATTTGTGGCCAGGTTGCTTCTCAGTGGGCTTTGCCCGATAGGATGGGGATGGTTTCGTTGTATGTGTTTGAGTTATTTACCTTTCTTGTACTTTGCGCTACTAACATCTGTGAAAAACAGCTTTATAGCTCATCGGATTCCTCCAGTCTAAACACATTCTGATTTTGAACACTTCAATTGTTTGCATTGGAATTTACATGTTGTAAATATTACAATGGAAACACACATTGCAAGTGTATTCAGGAAACAATATATCTTTAGTGAACACTAGCCAACCGAATACATCTCTGTTACCTTTGTATCAAATTATCACAATAGAAACAATGTGAAAACGTGACCAGTCCACTGAATATATAAAGTTGTGCAACTTTGCTTGTGCCAAGATACACGCTGCCCTACCCGCCTGTCCGCCAGCAACTCATCTCCACGACACCTGCCCGTTCCAGAGCGTCGACCACCGACTGTGTTCTCGTTAGTTGAACAACACGTCGTCTTTCACCACCAGTGATTTATATACATTAACTGGCTTTACTACCCGGCTTCGCCCTGGACCTGGATTCACCACGCCTGGCCGTCTTTGTCCCCCCAGTGGTGATGTTCACACACCACTCGTTGGAGGCTGAGTCGACCTAGGGAAGGCCCAGGACCGGCTAAAATAATCGTCACCGGTGGTGGCCGTGAGCAGGAATCGAACTCGGGTCGCCGGGTTCGTAGCGCAGTGCGCTAACCACTCCACCACAATGCGTTACGCTTCCACGTGCGCGGGTCATATGACAGATTTGATGTCACAGCTCACTTGCCGTGCAAAATATATATGCATTATTGAGCTCCCCCCCCCCAATAAAAAGTGAATTATAATCATTTTTGCATGGTGTACAGTCTGGAAAGTACCCACATGGCAAGTTTCAAGTTTGTTGCATGTCGGGAAGTACGCCAAATATTTTGGACAGACATATTCACAACTTTGCCTTGTATATATTGTGGATATGGAGATTAACCCCCCCCACCCCGTGCTTCACGCAAGAAGGGCACACAAGTGACGTCATCAAGTCTATCCCCTCTATTTAAGGAACTAAATAGGATTTCTCCACAAATCGGGCTATTGTTTGAGGAAGCTCGTTGTAATTACTGGAGAAACGTACTCAGATTGTAAACGATGTGGCTTTGCTCTCCAACACACCGGTGTGATGTACCGGTAACGAATTGGCATGTTCTGTTTACGTGACAAACCTTACTAATTGGCTGTCGGGTGGTGGTGGGTTTAACGACACATTTATATATTTACGCGATCTAACCCAAAAAAAACAGTAGTGTTCGCGTTGATATTTGCTTTAGGGGCCGTCCATAAATGACGTCACGCGATTTTGGACGATTTTTACCCCCCCCCCCCCCTCGTCACACGGCGTCACAAAAAGTCAGACCCCCCCCCTCAAAAATGACGTCACAAAGCTCTGCCTCCCCCCCCCCCAAAAAAAACATGCTTCAAATTGCTTTAAACTATTGTCATTGTAGTGCGTATTTAATGTGGCGCTGTACTCTGATATTGTAGGAGAAAATATTTATTAAGTCTATTTAATTAAGTAGAACGTGTATTTATTTAAATTTGCACATTTTGATGTGATGACACATTTCTCACCCCCCCCCTCGGGTAATGTAGTGACATAAGAGGGGATGGGCTGCTGGGGGCTCTGGGACCCTAGGCAACCCAGGCGCTTAAGCCCTTGGCGCCAGGCGCTAGGTTCCCAGGCAACCCAGACGCTTAAGCCCCTTGGCGCCACCAACGGGGGGGGGGCTGTGTGTGCTCTGTGGGATATCTGGGGGCGCACACAACCCCACCTCTCGTTGGGGACGAGGCATAAAAGGGCAGCTCCCTGGACGATCGAGGCCAGTTGTAGCTCAAGACCCAAGACCCAAGACCAGCCATCTGAGGACCCTGGGACGCTGTGAGGGCCAGTGGTGGGACTCTGGAACTCCCGGCTCTACGTCCTTGTGAGGGCGAGTTCCAGAGCGTAGCCAGAGTAGCGTATCTAGGCTGTGTACCTAGGCTGTGTACCTAGGCTGTAACAGAGTATCAGGACTGTTGGAGTGTAATAAAGAAATTACCTCTACAAGTGTCTCCGGAACCCATTACATTTGGAGTCAGAAGTGGCCATGGAGACAAGAAGTAAGCCACGTACCTTCAGTCCTGACGGCGATGTCGAGGAGCAAGCAGCGATGAGGCGGCCAACACCGTCACAAATGTCTGACCCCCCCCCCCCTAGGTGCGTGACGTCATTTATGGACGGCCCCATAATATACGGCACAGCCTACCTCCCTATGACCAACCGCTGTTGTTCTTCCTCACCTAGCACCTCTCCCTCAACTTGATGACATCTCCATGCAATTGATGTCTTTCCCATCCCTCTATCAATCAGCAATCGTGCCTTAATGATCACCTTCATTCTGCATGCACTTAGATTGTTGATGCGCCTTCCCCTCCCCCCTCCCACACTATCTCTGTAATTTGCACCACCTGCCCCTTAATTACAGCGCCCACTCATCCCTATTACCCCCCCCCTCCCCCCGATTCTGTTGGTCGCTGGACAGCTCCCCTGACTAAATCACTTGAGGATCATCCAAAGTGATCGATCCAATGAGACCTCCTCGGGTCCCATTAAAACACCTTTCAGAATAAACGCCCCATTTCAGAACCAAAACATTGCACCCGACTTGAACATTCCTCGAAAACAATGGTGTACAGGTACCATCAACTATATAGCAGCATCAACAGGCTAATGCACACGTCTTCATGAATAGCAAATGAAAGACAAGCCACACTGCGAGTGTGATCCAAGCTATGAACCGAAGAGTTAACACCTGTCGTCTGCGCTCCATCAAAGGAGAAATAACAAAACTATCTCCAGAAGCCCTGTCGTGGCTAATAGACCTCGACATTGGGTATTAGCTCATGGAAGATATTGCCATCATACTCAAGAATAGAATTAGAACACCCTTCCCGTGAAGTTTTAATTCCAATCCATATATAATTCCCCCAGCACCGACACATTTTATGAACATAAAAGACTCACGGTAGGTGTGCAAGAGTGTACTTTATTGGTGGAGGTTTAGGGAAGTTTAGTTATAAATGTAATATTTTCAATTATTAAATTAAATATGGGGAGCAGTGGCACAGTGATTGGTATACTGTGCTATGAACCTTTTAATCGGAGTTAGATTCCTTACCACTGCCCCCCCCCCCCACACCAGTGCTGATCATATCTTCGTTGTGAGGATTAAGTTAATACACTTCACCATGCTGGCTAGTGCAGGTTAGTGAAGGTGGGCATAGTACAGTACAACAAAGCAAATTACTGCACTTTTTTTTGCTGCTCACAATGTGGGTTGGCTAAAAACTCGCAGCTGGTTAATATATCACTTGTCACTGTTAGCCATGACCAACACTCGAATGATGAATTTATGAATTCATTGCCATTAATTCTGAGTTACTCCTCTTATCCGTGCAAAAAACACACGAGCAATATTAACAGAGGAAAAATCATGCATACACATTGAATACGTGACGCTTTCCTACAAGCATGTCCTTAAAAAATGTTTAATTATCAAAAATAACAATTTCTTTCAAGCACATGAGTTGTGATATCAAGACAGGATTCCCACACATGATGAGTTGATCTCACGAAGTAATGATGTCATCAGTAAATGAGGCGAGGTGTGCCTTGACTGAAAGGTTTCTTCACAATCACTTGGTGTTTTCAGCCAATTTCTCAGAAACCCCCTCGATCAATTTAAATGCTTTGCTGCAGGATACGTTCGTAATAGCAACACAACTTTATATTAACATTACATTTTTGACAAATGTTTTCCAGATAATTATGACCCGATGGACAGATGGACAACGCTAAGGCGTGAACAATTTCACTCAAATAATAGGAGGGTACATAAGGAGTTTCACTGTGTGTTAAAATTGGAGCCGGGGCATTGATGGGAGGTGGCTTTTGATGCATACAACTTCAGCACTGGTGGAAAGTTCCATAAGGATGTAGCTGTTGAGAAGTTGGGCTGCCACAGTATGAAATCCTTATGGTTTCACCAACACAGAATTTTCCTCGCTGGATTTCATACAATACTTCTCCATGCACACGTGACCAGCTGGGCAGCAGTGCACCCCGTCAGCACAGCACACCGCCTGAAAGTAAAGTGTGTGTACACACATACAAAATAAAGCATCACTCATGTCCACAAAATAATGCAGAATGACCAACTGGCAGTTTTAAGAGTATATTTTTGTTAATTTGATGAGGAAGCGATGCTACATTTGCAATGTTAAATGTAACATGACCAATGCTGCATTACAAATGCCAACTTTTCGGAATCCTTTGATCAATTTCAACGGTTTTCTATTAATAAGTCTCTAATCGTAATAAAACCTTATTACGAACATTTAAGTTACGTTTAAAATAAATTGCAAATGTTGCATTCTAAAACTAGATCCTGATCGAATGAATGAAATATACTCATACAACTACCACGTCATCATTCTGGATGTATGAATACATGGAAGCATTCACTATTCTGGCAAATCGCCCGAAGATGCTGGATGTAATTTTCAGCGAAATGTCGGACTCAAATTGTAAATGTTATGGATCCACTCTTCAACGCACCGGTGGGCTAAAGTGGTGAAATATTTGTCTTTTGTCAACGTGACACATTTTATACTGATTGGCCGTGTCGGGTAGTGGAGGGTTGCGACACATAAATAACACGGGATCTAACCCAAAAACCTTTATTATTACATACTCTTTGGTTCTTTCGGTAAAGTCACGTAGGTATAAAATAAAATAAAACACGACGTTTCGATTGCAACACAAGCGGTCGTCCTCAGGTGGAAAAAATATAATCTAGCAGTGGAACTGCTGAACCGCCTTCGGATGACCGCTTGTGTTGCGATCGAAACGTCGCGATTTATTTTATTTTATACCTACGTGACTTTACCGAAAGAACCAACGTGTATGGATTCCTGCAGTCATGAAAGCTTCAAATAATCTTTATTATTAATAGATTGGGCAGATGAGTCAATGATGGAGCAGCTAGGCACAAGGTTGCGGCTGCTCAAGGCACAGTTTGCGAAGTTCAGGGAGGTCATTATGATTTATAGAGGAACTAGCATCAGCAGAGCTGCACTGCTTTCTAGTAGGTGGGGCCCAAGCCCTCCCCTGCTGCTGGGTAATGCTCTCATGGACAAGTGGCCCCAACACTGCTGCTGTATATTGTCCGAGGGAGACCGACACATGTTTGCACACCAGAATCTCCAAAAACATAAAGGACGCAAGCTAAAAATACAAGGAGATCTAATGCAGAAACGTACTAGGCTATGCGTACCCTGGGCTGTCCAACATGAATATGAAGCTTCGTTACAATAAAATAGTTGAAATTCAGTCAGGCACCGTAGCATAGCGCTCCAGTCATGTCACTGCATTGAAATATTTAACATATGGGAGCAGTGTCTGCATTAATGCTTCCAGAATGCGATGATGAGCTGCAGCAGTGACAAGCGGGCAGACACTTACGTTTGGCACACCGCAGCATCCCCACGATCCAGCCGGGAGGCGACAGCATGTGCTGTCGCCGGGGCAGTACCGGCGATTTGCACATGAGACACTGGTCGCTTGCTTCTCCCAGGGCAGGGAAGCAGCCTTGGTGACAACAGCTGCAGCAGTTGTCGTAAGGGTGGGCAGTGCCACCTCCATCTTTGCCCAGGGGTTGACCTCGGCTGAGAGTTGGCACTCGCCCTGATGACTGCCACTCACTCTCTGGCAATGTTTGTCCTTAGGACAGCCTCTGTCATCCATGCAACCTTCCTGATGCTGTTTTGGGCTTGCACTTGTCGGCTGACCTGAACATATGAAGGATGAATACAAACAGTTCGTATGAGTGAATTCAATGGCAGCAGTAATACTCCAAATTTGTTTTTACAAAATAAAAACAGATCTCCTCACCCAATCATAGACTGGCTTAAAGAGCCAAAGGCTAAATACAGACTTTCACAGGCATACTGTTTGTTAGGCGGGGAGGGTGCCGGCAACAGACTAGCGACCACAAAGTTCTGGAATAGGAGCCTGTCCCAAGAGGTTCCATCGCAAAAGAGGTCTCAAATCTGGCAAGTCCCGAGATCTGGCCCAAGGTCAATGCCACTGAGGCTCATACAGTAGAAATGTATGCACGGCACTTACGTGGCAAACGAAAGAGCAGGGAAATTCATGGCGGTCCCCCCCCCCCCCACCAATTACCCTAGATGCCCCCAGGCACAGTGCAATCCCACTTGCACGCCTTTTCATCATGCCCAGATGTCACGAAACTATCCCAGGAGATCGAGGCCTTTTTTAACGACATCTGCGGCACCAACCCCTCCCGATCAGTTTAAACTACCCTGTGGAGCCCGAAACCCAATGTCCGTTCGAGACACCAACATGCCCTACTCCCAACCTTCAACATTATAAACAGGAAAGCCATTCTGGATAACTGGAAGGACCATGAACCCCTCCCTCATGGAAACATTGGCACAACATCCTGTTAGCCCAAGCAGGCATTGAGCACCTGAGCCACAAGCATAAAGGAAAATAATGGGAATTTGAGACAAGGTTGTCCCCCTTCCTATGGAGTCTAACATGATGGGAAGGGTTGAGGAGGTCGGCAGATGGGGAACGGGTAAAAAGAGGGGCATACCCCTTCAACGGACGAATGGAGACAGGCCCAAGAATGAAGGGAAGTTAACATCCGCCCGTAAGCTGCGTGTAAATTATATTTGTAGAGCGTTCCTTTATTACCCCCCCCTCCCCCATCTTAGCATGTTCGTTATTTCTCGCCTCTCTTTTCTCCCCCCACATTTAAACTTTAATGCCCCACCCACGCACGGCAGCAGGTCAAACACTCTCTCCTTTAAGAACGGCCCTGCCCTGCCGACTAGACCCCGCTCCCCCACCCCCCGGCAGTTTTTCTGTTCCCCTCCCAGCGGCCTCTGGCGCGTTGTACTAGGCTCGGGTTTTTTGTCACAATAAAAACATAACCAAGTGAACTCTGGTATATACAGTAAGGGGCAACCCTTTCTCATCTGCTCTGCCACCAGCAGTAATGTCCTTTGCATGATAATAAACCGATGTTTTAATGCTCGTAGCTGGAATTTAGCCAAACTGCAGAAATACGTTTAATGAGATGTGTTTTGTGTGTGAATGCAGTCATTCGTGACTGAACGCATGACATTTGTGTTGAATGGCCTTAATTCTCCTTCCTTTTTGTTTGTCAAAGGATTTAGACATGCTTTGGTTTGTTTGCACATTTTTGACCAGTTCCCTATTTTTGTAAGGATGTAAATCATGTGCCAAAATTATGTTTGTATCACGACCGTGATTATGTAACTAAAATGTGTACTCTACAACGTCTGTACCATCGTGGAACACCCATGAAATAGAGCTCTTATTGGGGCTTTTCTGCTAAAATAAATAATATATCTATATCTATCTATAACTAGTTTAATCACAGGAAGTTTGCCTGGATTCAAACCCAGGATATAAGCGGTGACAGTTCAGCACTAACCTATAAGCAAAGTTAGTTTGTTTAAACACATACCTTTTCTTAGGAATGTACTGTGTACTTTCATGCACACGAGTTTAAAGAAAACATTTGTGAAATGAAGGATCGTGTCTTTTATTTACTTGCCTGTACATGTGTTGGCATGTATGCATGCATTGTCAGCAAATACCTGTGCGTTTCCAGCCACCTTCAGGGTAACACACATGCATGTCCTCAACAGTGATGCATGTGTTGTCTGCAGCACAGCATGCTCTTCCATCGGTACAGCAAACACCCTGGGCAGCATAAAGCCAAGATCGATTCACGAGTATATCAGATGTTTGCAACAAAATCAAGATGAAAAGGTTGAGAGTATTTTAACACTGTAACATAGAGGCAGTAATCCCATTCACTATCAGGGTTATATGATGTTCAACTCAAAGTGGTTTCCTGCTCAGCTGAGTGCAAAACCATGCTCATTTCTGTTTGCAGTTCTGAGCCAGTGGTGGAAAGTCCACACTCCAATGGCAGGAGAAAATATACACAAAAAGGACAACCACTGTTGCTGAAGAGTTCGGTTAACAGCCGACTGGGATCTGAACTTGTAACCTTCCGATTGGAAGGTGTGCACTCTCCTGTTGCGCAATCCATTCAGAATCCTGTTAATTTAGCATTTACTATGGCAAAATAATAAATGAGTCGTGTGGCATGTTATAGCTCTGAATGCTGTTGACACACCACACTGCTGATGACACGTCAGGATAATTATGTTTCTAGAATAGGCCCCAGTCATGTTTAAAGTGCTCCATCTTTCATCAGCACAAGTATATATGCATGTGAGCTCCCCAAATCCAAAAGCAAACACATTGTTGAATCACATGTCAGTTCTGCAGCCTTATGTACCACTGTGGTTGCAGTTAAACTACCTTTAATTTATGGCTGGGAGTAAACCTTATACATTTACACCTCATACATCTATCTTTGCTTTCTCTGGCATAGTACACATCACAGGCTGAAGATATTGATCTAGAAGTAAAAAAATGTTTAAATAAACTGAAAATCTATTGATTATAAAATTATTTGCTTTGGCAAGCTGGAACTAGACTGTGATAAAACTGGCCTCACGAAACACCTGGCCTTTCTCAGAGTCAAGCAAGGCCAGAAATGACATGTTCATTGCATGTGATGTCAGTACACTGTGAAGAGACAGCATCACCATGTCTTCTACACGTGATTCGACTCATTTGTTGCAATTGACGTTAGTGCCACGGCCCAACTTTTGCAGTGGAAAAACAACTTGGTGCCTTCTGAGCCACACGAGGGATGCTCAGCACGGCCCTGGCATGGCTCAGTTGTACGTTGAACAGTTTATGAGTCTTTCAAATCGATGCTTAATGCTGTAAGGCATTACTGCATGAGCCACGTACTGCTGGGGCAGGACAGCAGAGTGGTTCTCCACTGTGCAAGCAGATGGGGCCGGAGCAGTCGATGGAGTCTTCAGATTCCGCAGGAGGGAGAGCGACTGCTGGAATGACGTCACTATCTTCAGCAATCTGTTCCAGGATGAGAACACGTAGCACACACAAAGAAACATCCCACTGTTTAGAATGATGGACTGTCATCATATGGCCACAATGTCCTTAACGGGTAGGAGGAGGGGGCTCTCCTGGAAGAGTCGGCAGATATTTCATGAATAAATATGGAGTGGTGACAAGCCATAGCCTCCAGAAGCAGGTTCCCCTTTGGTTGAGTCTTCCGGTGACAGAAGACATTCTGTTCGAGAGGCCATGAGGTGCCCGCTATCTTCAGACATATTGCTCCCAGCCTCACCAAAAAATGCCTTACAACAACGTGGAACGTTATCAAGAGAATCCAGAAGACCTGCCTGGAGAAACGGACAACTTTGGAGTTGTGCGTGGCTGTTCTGAGAGTACTCTTGCATAATTGGACCGGTCAAGACCGAGTGAGGCCTTTGCCTCACGGTGAACCTCGCACTTGCCTGCAACTGGCTGCACACGGATGCTTCACCTCTTTCAACAACCGAGTGCTACCTATCAAGTACAGCGGACACCGTCTTGTTTCATAGTGCTGTCCGCTCAAGGTTTAAAAGGATAAATACGGTGTTATAGATGAGTGATTTCACAGCGCAGTGTTCTTCATTGCAAGGTGGCCCCTGGGCCTTTAGTGCGGCCTCTGACGTCCGACCCCTGACAATACACATGCCACGATCCGAGGGGCGTAGGTTTTGAAATGGTAGTGAGGATGCAACAGGTGTCGAAAATAAGTCGGTGTGAGATCTCAATGCTTTAAAAGTTCACAGTAACATCTTGAAACCGATTCTTTGCCTTTCCGGGAACCAGTCTAAGAAGGCCAGCACTGGTGATATGTGGTTTTGAATGTCTCCCTCCTACACCCAGACCACTACTCGGCACGTTTGCAGAGGTGGAGTTATTCACGGCACTAAAAAGGTATAGAGTGTTCAATTCAGCCATATACGCATAATAAAAAAAATGTCAACGGACGCCTCTGCATGCATTACACAATGTTTGCGCTCGCCAGTCATTCTTGGAAAGCTACGTTGCGTACGATCAATGCGTTTAGAAGTTCATTTTATTTATATCGTTTCAAGTTAACATAAGATGTAAATGTTGTCATAGTCATTTTATATATTGCCAGATTCATAATTGATTATCCACCAATGACTCATGCACGATATAGTTTCACACATTTACATACCTGTCAACCCCTTATCAGTGCCCTAACCTTATTACAGACCAATTCAGACCTTATTTGTCACTCCGCGCCCCTTGCAAATCTCAACGTTCATCCTACAAAGTCCCATCACAAGCGAGAAACACAAAAAAATAGACAAGAACAAAATTCATATTCTTAGGTTTTTTTCGGTAAAGTCACGTAGGTAAAAACATTAAAAAGTAAAATAAAATAAAAAAAAGATTTAACTACACTTATTTGCCAATCTTATTTGACAGACAACCATTACAGTTTTACCATGTTTAGTGGTGGTCTCCCTGTCACAGGTTGAGTCACAAACCGCACCTCTCCATAACAAAGGCTCAGCCTTTGTTACCAAAGGCTCAGCCTTTGTTATGCAGTATATTCTTAGTCTTAAGCCTCACCTTACCATATTCATAAAAAGTATGCGGCCCTTGCCCCACCACCTTCTCCAACCATTATATAAACGGAGTGGTAGCTCCTGCAATCTCTCATTTACTTGATACAGCTGTCGTGGCTGTGACGGTACCACCTGAAGACGGAAGCTTGTGTTGCCTCCGAAACGTCGTGATTTTTATTTTATTTTACTTTTTATGTTTTTACCTACGTGACTTTACCGAAAAAAACTAAGAATATGAATCATTGCAGTCACGAAAGCTTCAAATCTAGAATTAAGAACAAAATTGCCTGTATTGAAACGGTTGTACGCCGTATGGACCTGAAAACTCAATTTCCCTGTACAAAGAATACGAAGTAAAAACCGTACTGGTTGACAACAATGCAGATGCACTTAAACCCACTGCTCCCCACTTGCCTTCTCCCAGCGGCAGCAATCCCACCCGGACGAATAGAGGCAGCACTGGGCAGTGCCGCAGTTCTTTCCATCGAGGCAAACATCAGCAGCCACCGGCACGAAGACGTTACAAGGCACGAGCAGCAGCAGCAGCAGCAACAACCGCTGCTGCTGTTGTCTCTGCTGCCAGAGGGCCATGGTCTCTGAGAATTCACCACCTCGTCATTGATCAGAAGAGCAGACCCGCAATGCGCTCCCCTCTCAAATCACTCAGTCCCCCCCTATCTTTCTCACTCCTTCCCCCCTATCTCTCTCACTGCCTCCCAACGTCGGTCTGTAGGTTGTTTTTGAACAACGCCGCACCTCCGAACGACGATGGTATGGCCGTACACGCTACCAAAATAAGTTCAACACAACGCACATTAACCATTGCCGACAAGTATCGGATGGAGGAGATGTTTGGGCGCATTAAGGGAAGTGCAACGCCAAACTACGCAAGGCTCAGCACCAGCCCTCCCGTACACATTTAATAGTTGGGGGAAAACAATCGTTAAATTAAGCGATGAGCTTAATGTGTAAAATATAAAGCAGATCGCATTGGTGTCTCATTCTGTGCAGCGGCGTTTAAACATGTTCGCTTTCGAGTGCGTGTGGGTAACTGCATATACAGTTACCCTTTGTGTATGAGCAGAGGTCATGGTCACGCTACAGGGGGAAGGAGGAATGCATGGGCATGATAAAGTGAAAAGCGCTCGATAATCTGCAGCTTTGCCACACAGCAGATTAACGCAATCTGAAGGTGAAACACAGCTTGGTTGTTATACTGGGCTTAAGCAACGAACATAACTTTAAATAATAACTTCTTGGTTCTTTCGGTAAAGTCACGTAGAAGGGAAGTAATAAAATATGTTTTATTTTTATTATTTTATTACTTCCCTTCTACGTGACTTTACCGAAAGAACCAAGAAGATGAATCCTTGCAGTCACGGAAGCTTTAAATCGAAATTTAAATAATAACACAACATTGTCGAGTACATTTGGTATTTGTGACATCATACTACTATTAATAAAAATAATGTATGCCTCGAGTTTCCTGGCTGGCTGCTGGCTGGGTACCGCTCTACACCAGCTATAACTCGCATACAGTCTACACAGTAATGGCCACACTGAAGGGTTGGGAGTAAGAAATACAGAAGACTCACAAAGGTTAATTTTAAAAGTGCTCTTATCTTCTTGGTTCTTTCAATTTGCACTCCTGTCGTAATTTCATGACAGAAAATTATTTAAATCCCTCCAGAAAATAAAAACGACTCACAATCCGTATCATATTGTAATCATGTTACAGATGTAGTGACTGCGAATGTGACTTTGTGGTGCCGGGTCTGCGAGGCCACGACGGATGTGTTGTCATTATGTGCAGCCCAGTTACTGGGCATAGTACCAGCCCTAGCAGGGCTTCGGTGATCTCCCCGTGGTTGCTCCCAAGACGTCTGCGACTATTGTCAGCTGTGAGGAAGGAACTAGCACTAGTTCAGTTTCCAGTAATGTTGTCACTCCCCCAGAGCCATCCTTTTAAGGTGAACCCTCAACAGCTAATGGTATACAAGAACCATCATTTCCACCTCAGGAGCAGTTAGGCAGTTCACAAGAATCAAATCAGCAACCAAGCCATTCCTGGTGCTATGAGGTCACTGACCCTGCATTATGGCAAAGCATTTCCAGTGACATTGTTAAGTCAATGCTTAATGAAAGAGGAACAGTCCCCTTCCAAAACCGCAGTGAAAAATACCCAACTTCAGTCCGAGATAGAGCGCTTGATGGAAAGACTAGAGGTTTCAACAATGAACTTCTGAACTGTATATTGCCAAATGGGCAGGTTTCTAGACAGTGGCTACTGTACTCACCCTGAACAGGTTGTGTGTACTGTTTTGCATGGAAACTGTTCTCCAGCAAGCTCATGGCTTTAGTCAGGGGTTTAGTGACTGGAAGCACTCTGAAAGAATAGGGGAGCACGAAAAGAGTGCAGAACACAGATCATGCATGCTTGCCTTGCATCAGCGGACAAAGGGCAGTGCTATAGATGCAGATCTCATGTAGCAACTTGATGGGGAACGTAAATACTGGAGGGACATATTGAAAAGAGTTGTAGCAATGATCAAGTTCTTGGGTGAAAGAGGACTTACGTTTAGGGGAGATGATGAACGGTGTGGGTCAAACAATAATGGTAATTTCCTTAGCATCCTAGAATTGCTATCACAATTTGACTCATTCTTAGTGGAGCCAATTGAGAGCCACACTTGTGTAATGCGGGCGTAAACGGCCTCGCGGATGTGACGTCACGGGGGGAGGAGTTAGGTCACGTGGGAGAGAGGGATCAAGTCTTAAGGGGGAGAAACCGGAAGAGCAGGGAGAGAGTTGGAGAGAGATATAGAGTGAGGCCACGCAGGGCGGAGGTTGGAGGGTGGCGAGATCGCCACACACCCAGGATAAGACTCGGCACCGTCGGCCAGCGGTGACCGAGCACGGAGGAACGGGGAGCCGGTTGAGGCTGCAGTGAGGGCAGCCGGAGGCCTGCACGAGGAGATCAGCAGCGGAGCTGCATCAGAGTGGAGTGAGAGGCTACGGGAGCGACGGCAGCATCGGGCTGCCAAGCGGGGGAGTCTCTGAGAGAGAGCCGTGTGGGACAAGTGTAAAGAACCCGAATAAAGGACAACGAAGACAGACACAGTGACCGAGTCCTTTATTACACTTGTAAAAGTTTAGCAGACTGTGACTTTAAAGGTGGAGGGCCTTGGGTTGGACCTCTCAAACTGTAGAGGTCAGTCATATGACAATGTAAGCAACATGTCAGGAAAATACAATGGGCTACAGGCCCACCTGATGTATGTGCCTTGCGCAGCGCATTCACTTAACTTAGTGTTAACACCTTAGATGGCAGTAGCCCAGAGGCCGACGAGTTTTTTACATGTTGCAGTCACTGTGCACATTTTGCTCTTCATCCACACACAGATGGGGGAAAGTCTTTCG